TGCCAAAGCAAAAGAGAACAAGCATGAAGGAAGCAGGATAGAAGAGAATATGGGACGCAGGTCAGCTGTGGTTACTGAGCAGCCGCAGATGGAACAGAAAACACTGGAGGTAGAAAAGAGGCCTGTCCAGTGCCCCTATACATCTGCAAATTTTTCTGGTGGCAAGTCCCAAGGACAGTCTTCATCAGTAGTCTATTCAGAGGCTGGTAAAGAAAAAGGACCTCCTCCTAAATCCAGGTACGAGGAAGAGCTGAGAACTCGAGGAAAGACCACAATTACTGCTGCTAACTTCATAGATGTGATCATCACTCGACAGATTGCTTCAGACAAGGATGCACGAGATAGGGGCTCTCAAAGTTCAGATTCTTCCAGTAGTTGTACGTATCTTAGTAACTACTTACTTCTTTGCTGTCTTAGCCTTTTAGGGAGATGATAAAATGTGAAATGATTCTGATATTTAATGATAAAATATTCAGCCCTGCACAGATCAGATGCTTGATAGGCAAATACAGTTTTTGAATATAGTGCAGTGGCTAAAGATTCTTGTAAAATTTAGTTGATCACTTTATTTAGGTTCCATGCTGCATTGTGAAATGCAGGATAATAAAACTGACCATATCATAAGTCAGGAGATGTAAAATTACTGAATTTACATTGGAACACTGTTTTGTGGAAATATGTTTCACTGTGATTCTCATGAGAAAGACAGACAGTTTTGACTTCCATTTCACTGATGTCATTTTAATGGAAAGACAGCATTGCTACGTATAGGCAACCAAAATCTTGAGTGATATTCAAACCTTATTCTGCAACTTTTGCTCGATATACAGTATCTTCCCACCGGTATGAAGCTCCTGGAGATGCTATTGAGGTGATTAGCCCTGCAAATTCACCTGTACCTACTCAAGAAAAGTTACAGTCCTATCAACAAGAAACACCTAAACCAAGCCAGGCAGAGAGTAAGTTGGTCTACTTATGCAAGTGTGCTGACAATTATTTTGCTTATATTTACCATGAACTCAAAATATAGTTAAAATATATCAGGAGTCTTTAGGTCACCGTTTACCACATTTTTAACTTTTAGAAACTTTTGCTGGAGTTATGTTGTTGCAGGATCTGTGGAAAAACTTGAGCAAATGTATTGGAACTGTCACTTGGCATTGAACAGCTCCTTTACATTACAGCCTAGTTGATTCAATAGGAAATTTATTTTGAATGTATTATTTAAAATTACCGCATGTTGGTGTTGCATGAGAAATGAGCTGGAATTCACCAGCGTTGCGGAATTAAGTTCTAGCCTTCAAAAGTCCAGGGCCTATAAGTGGAGGGGAAAAAGTGTTTATTAGACATGATGCCTAAAGTCTATTATAAAAAATCTATTATAGAAACGCCTATTGTTTTATATTTGTAAGCAGAGAACTTTAAAACCTTGAAGCTTCAGTAATACCTTCATAACAAACTGTCCTTTTGTTCTTCAACTAGGTGACCCAAACAGGCAATATGAGGGGCCGATTCACCGTTACAGGACACAACAGGAACCTCCTTCACCCCAGCAACCTCCACCTCCTTCCTCCCAAGCAGAAGGGATGGCACATGTGCCCAGAACCCATCGACTTATCACCCTTGCTGATCACATCTGTGTAGGTTTATTTGTGCACATCTTTTCAGATGTGAAAAGTTATGCTTTGATTATGAAAACAAGGTTTGGAACATTAATAAAACTAATAATTACAGAGTTGGTATTGGGGATATTATACAATAATGTCTGAACTTATTTTCTCATTTGTTGCAATTAGTCTCATATTCATCTAGTTCACAAATGCTGAACACTACACTGTAGCCAATGTCTGACCAAAGTTTCCTTTCTCTTTTTTTGACCACAATCAGCAAATTATTACACAAGACTTCGCTCGAAACCAAGCAGCTTCTCAGGCCCCTTTGCAGCCTCCCACCACTACATTCCAGAACTCCACCCCTGCTCCAGCGCCTGTTTCTACCCGAGCAAAGACATCAAATCGCTACAGCCCTGAGTCACAGTCACAGCCTGTCCACCATCAGCGGCCAGGTGCTAGAGTGTCACCTGAAAATCTGTCTGACAAGTCCCGGGGAAGGTAATGCATGTATTTTGTTTAACTGTAAATTTAATTAATTCCCAAGTACAATATTTACAAAAGCTAGTGCAGTAATCTTTATGTAGATCAGAAATAGCAGTATCCTTTGGTCTTTTTTTAGGCAATGACTTGCACTGTTTTTGACAATTGCTTGGCTCCATAATATAAAAATTTTCCCTTCACTACTAATGCATAATTTCCAATCCTTAGAGGAGTGAAAAATTCTAATCGATTAGAACTTTGTGGAAGAAATCCACAGAATCATTGTGGACAAATCAGTGCTATCTTCTAAGATCATCAAACATACTAAAACATGAAACACACATAACTAGAAATATAGTTTTATAACTACTGGAATGCAATTATGTGTGTTAACTACTCTGTTACATGCATTAAGAGGACTTACCTGTCTCTGAATTCCAAATGCAGACCTGGAAAATCTCCAGAGAGGAGTCATGTTTCTTCAGAGCCCTATGAGCCAATCTCGCCACCTCAGGTCCCAGTTGTACATGAGAAACAGGAAAACGTTCTATTGCTTTCCCAAAGAGCTGAGCCTACTGAACAGAGGTACGTGTAAAACTGCAGTTTAAAAGCATTATTCTGGATCACTTGGCTTCGAACAGTATCTTTATTAAAAAATCATTTAAGCAATCTTCCTCTGTTATCAGAGGCAAGTTTTTAATTGCTGTTCTTAATAAGGAGGATGAAATTGGAGGAACAGCTGGGATGACTATTTGGGCTTCTAGCTTAAAAATGCAGCCACCCACCAATATATAGCTAAAACTTTAGCAAGCATGCACGTTGCAAGGCAGAAATAGACACCCCTGAAATGTTTGAGTGCATTATCTCTACCGCTCTTCTAGCACAGGCAATTACCATGTTGCTTTTTCTGTGAGCTTTAGAATCTTGAAAAAGCAGGTGTTTCTGGACAATCATTAAATTGGTCTAGTCCCTAAAAAAAAAAAACAAACAGGTTGAGGAAAGATGATCTTAAAGCATATTAATGTTGGCAGTATCTGCCACTGATTGTTTTTTGAAAGATTTAAATGTACAGTGTGAAAAACATTCTCTTACTTTTGACACATTGGTCTTGGCAGGACTGACTCTCGCTCTCCAGGTAGCATAAGTTACCTGCCTTCGTTTTTCACCAAACTTGAGAATACGTCACCAATGGTAAAGTCCAAGAAACAGGAGATATTTCGAAAGCTGAACTCATCTGGTGGAGGTGACTCAGACATGGGTATGTAGGACTTTTCTATGAATTTTTGCAACTTAAGCTCTATGTGACTGCTGTCCACAGATGATCTAACCTAAATGTTTCAATTAGTGTGAGTGAATATTAATCTATTAATTTAAAACATATTGTATATGACTGAATATCTGTAAGATTTATTTTTTATGCTGATGTATGTAAACCGTTGCATTTAAGCATTTTAATATTTAATTTGAGAGGTGTAAATGTTTAGAAGAAGCATAATTTTTGAGATAGTTTGCTTCATATCAACATTGACTACAGACACAGAGTTAACTAGAATAGTGTCAGGTTTTAACAACTATTATGCCTTTTTCATTTTGAAAAAGACATCTTCTAAGCTGGATTTTTTTTTTCTTGGACCATAATGATTATGACTATCAAAATGACACATTCTGGATATTTTAATGCAGTCTCAGTAATGGATACTGTCCCAGTGGAATATGACACTATAACTGTATTTTTTTCTCTTAGAAATCTTACTATAAATTTGTATCAAAATTATCAGTAGTAAGAGTTTGAGCTGTTTGTGAATTCAGTACCTAGTAGAAAGTATTTATTTGAAAGCAAATGCTTTTGCAGATTTCATTCTGAGAAACAAGGCTGCGTTAATAAGGGTTGCAGTATTCTCTTTATTGGATCTCCATTGTGTGCACAATACATCTTGCTATGTTGAAAAAAGTACAGGAAATAGTTGAGAGTAATTCTATCATATGTATTAAGACTAATAGGGTTCACTTATAATGATCATCGGTACCATGGAAAACTCACTTAAATGTTATGTTTTAATTGCAGCAACTGCTCAGCCAGGGACTGAAATATTCAATCTGCCAGCAGTTACTACATCAGGTAAGTTTTTCAGTAAAAGGAACTGTGCATGTTTCAGAAAAGGTAAACTAATGCAATATATTTAATGTATGTGCTTTGAGCAGTGCCGTAAATGAGGAAGATGATGTAAAATTTGAAAAGTAACACCTCACAAAAAAGGTTTTTTCCTTTGTCCTAAGGAAATTTCACATAATATTTAAATGGGAACTGAAGCAAGAATTGTTTTATTTCTCTGGTGTCTGCAAATCTTAGACGTAGAAGTCATGAAATCGGTTAGCATCTCACTTACATAGAATTTAAATATAGTGTAGTTCAACAAAACTAGATCTCAGTTCAGCAAATGCAATTTACTTTATAAACTGGGGTATTTAAAATACTTGCTGTTTTTTTCTGTGATAAATAACATTTAAAAAAAAAAAATTCCTGTCAGATGAGGAAATTAAACAAAACCTATATGTTCTAACGATAAAGGTGAATGAGGCAGAGAAATTAAGTGAAATATGGGCGGTAACTTCTAAATCTGAATCTGAGTTGTACTGTAGATTGCCTTTACATGGTTGTAGCCAGTTGCCTCCCCTTCTGATACAATTATTCTATCTTTAATTGGAGAAAGTAGTGATCTCCATCAGATGAGATGGAAGGGTAGGCTTTCTGAATTAAGTATTTGCCACAAATCATACTTTGTAAGATGAATTAGTGTGGATCATTAATATGAGAAATATTCTTCTGGTCTGTTCTCTTACAACTGATTAGTAGCTACAGATCTTACTTAATATGCTATCACAATCAGCATGTTTAGCTTCCATTGCTTTTTTTTTTTTTTTTTTGGCTTAATGTAAAATTTACTCTATTGCAGAGTCTGGCATTTAGTGTTTGCTGACACATATAACTTACAGCTATTGTGAGCTGCTTTTGAGCATGTAGCTTTGCATTTAAAAATACATTTTTTCCCCATCTTTCTGCCTATCTCTAAAATCTTTGTCCACATAATTTCTCTGAGATATGTTTTTTGCCTCCCCTCCCACCTTTCCATGTATGTTTTCTTTTATCTCCCAGGTGCAGTCAGTTCTAGGGGTCATTCCTTTGCAGATCCTGCCAGTAATCTTGGTCTAGAAGACATTATTAGAAAAGCATTGATGGGAAACTTTGATGACAAGAGCGAGGATCATGGAGTTGTAATATCACAGTCCATTGCAGTAGCATCTGGCAGTTCCAACGCTGCAGTACCTGCAAGTAGTGAGACGCGTAGGGAAGAAGCTAATCCATCGCCTAATTCAGGTGAGGTATTTCAGCTCCCAAATATTTCATGGTTTAAATAAAATAAATAAACGAAGGGCTTGAATAAATTCAGTGTCACTGAAAGTCATTCCCTTTCCTCTGGAAGTGACAGAGAGACGGTGTTTCTATTCCCAGTAGTGGTCCTGGCTTTCAAAATGGTATTGGTGGTTTCAGGTGCACTAGCCAATATCTCTTGGAGAATGACAACACTGATGAAACAGGGAAGAGATAATGGGTTGGCTTGATGAAAAATACACATGTAGTACATTACCTATAGGGAACATGCAGTGATGGGAACTAGCTTGAACTGAAAACAGCTCCCTTCCTAAGGCTGGAAACATAACTCTCATGGTAAGAATAGGGATTTTCTAGCAATAGTGTCATTAGTGACTGTATAGGCTAGTCTTCTAACTAGTAAATCAGCATTGCAGAAGAAAGCATCAAGTCAAATCCTTGTTTGGTGCTAAGCGATAATCAATAGAAACAAACCTAGAGGCTAAAGTGTAGTGTAATATTTTTGGAAAACCTGTCCCTTCTATTTCCAGGAGGGGGAGTCAGCAAGCAGAAGTTAATTGGCAAATCAAATAGTAGGAAGTCTAAGTCTCCAATTCCAGGACAGGGATATTTAGGAACTGAAAGACCTTCTTCTGTCTCATCTGTACATTCAGAAGGGGACTACCACAGACAGACTCCAGTGTGGGCCTGGGAAGATAGGCCTTCATCAACAGGTGAGAAATGGGGGTTCTCTTTCCAACTTAATAAAGTAGATGTGTTATTTGCGGAAAGGTCAGATGCAGACATATAACACTGGCAATTATCAAAAGATTACATCATCTAGATCTGTGGTGCAAGGATTTCCTGAAACAGATTTTCTGCTAGTTGTCACAACCAAAGCCATACTATCTTTGCTATAGATCTCTTATAACCTCTTAGAATGGCACATTTTTGACTTCAAGAAACTCTTTCATTCAGGTTCAACACAGTTTCCTTATAACCCCTTGACAATGAGGATGCTCAGCAGTACACCGCCAACATCAATCGCGTGTGCCCCACCGTCCATGAGCCAAGCAACCACTCACCAACAGAACAGGATATGGGAGCGAGAGCCTGCACCACTGCTTTCAGCACAATATGAGACTCTGTCTGACAGTGATGACTGAACTATGCAGATTCTTTTTTTTTTTTTAATTTGCGGGTCAAAATAAAAAAGTTATTTTTGACTTGTGCCCAGAGAGACTTTCCAAGAGAGCAAGGGCCACACAATGAAGAATTAATGGAGAGTCCGTTAAATGCCTTCTGCACAGGCCATGTGTTGGAGGATTGTGATCAAGAAGGTTGACTTACTAAAGATAAATATGTAAAGAGTTTTTAAAAATGTGGACTATTCCTGTTCTACATCTATTTGTAAAGAAAACCATAATGTCTTTAAATCATTCTTCTGTAAATAGAGAGTACTTTTTGCAGTGTTTTTTCCCTTGCTATAGTATCTGGTGTACTTATGTTCAAATCATTGCCTAAACTTTGGGGGTCATTTTGTAATTTTTTTAAGCATTTTCTCCAGTGTAGAGTACTCTTCATAACCCTAGCCTCCCTACCAGCCTAGCCTAACCATACCCCTAGCCTCCCAATCAGCCTAGCATCATTGCCTGTTTAATGCCATGCCACTTCTTGCAGGCATTGTGCTTTTATATATATTTTTTTCCTCTAGACACTTCTCAGTGGTGTTCAACTCTTGTGAAAATGTTGATTTTTTTTTGACTGACCCCTTACTGAATTGTGTACATTAACATAGCCAGTTCGCTGGAATAAGATGATATATTTCTTTGAATTTTGAATTCTGCCACATTGTAAATTTTTGGTGCAGTTGATTTTATTTAGTAACACTGCAGAAATATTATTGCATGGGTATGTTATGGTTCATTTTAAAAAGGATAAAAAAAAAATCAAAGCAAAACAGAAAGAACAGCTTCTGGAGGCATACCTCACTGTTACGCACACTGGGAATTTCAACTGTGCCCCAAACGCCTATGTTAGTGTTTTCTGTTTCTGCATTGTATGCAGTTGAAATAGGCTACTAAATTTTATTGTCATGGTTAACCACAGCAAATGGCTTATCTGAACAGAGGCTCTGGGTGGGTTGATAAGTCCTTTAAGAAGAAAACCTCTACATCCTGAGTTTAAATAAAAACAAAACGCTTTTATAGAATAATTGACCAACACGAGTCAACTATTTGGCTTCTGTTATAACCAGTTTGAAATAGGTACTGCAGTTTTTACTTTCCTTAGTCTGATTTTAAAATCTTTATGTAATAATTATTTTAAAACCTGTGTCCACATCCCCATCCCTAATCTTATCAGAAAACTTTTCGTAGAAGTCCTGAAAAATGCTTGGCTTAACTCCTAAAGTGTGCAATACATATTAGGGTAAAATTTTCTTTTAATTGTATATGGTACTAGAGAGTCATCTTAATCATTCATCTATCAATGCCTGCTATTATATGCTTGTAGCTCATGTATATGTGCATCTGGTTAGCAGTATCACAGGGTCTTCTGCCATCCATCTTCAGGAGCATCTTATTGTTTGCTGCACTAACCTCAGGAAAGTGAATCTAAATCTCTGGGGTAGAAGGACCGATTTACAGATAGCACTAAGCTGGGGGGTAGGATGGTCTGTCAGATTCCATACTGCTTTTGCATCTCATTGAACAATCCTTGCCTAGAGGTTACTTTCCAGTCAGTCTTTTACATTTAACTGTGTTTGCAATACATTGTATGAAGGTATAATGTAGCTATGTAACCTTGAGTCCATGTAAGCTCAACATTTTACAAAAGAACTGTGATGGTCCAGTAGTACAGAATTATATATCAATAACAAACATATAGAGAAAAGCCTTTTTACCCTTAGTGTAGGAAAGAGAAATGACAAGGGAACTCATTTGGAAATTTGACAGTGTGTTGTAAATACAGAATTATTTGCTACCTTTTTTCTAAAAAAAAAAAAAAAAACACGCATCAGCATAGAGCACTTGGCAGTCTTAAAGCTGCCTGCGGTCTTTCTTAGAGGAAGACTTTCTCACCTTCCTCTCCTTTAACCTTCTGACTTAAAGTAGTGTTTGTTTTTTTCATTGTATTTTTAGGCCTGTGCTCTTATCTGTAACTTTTTTTTGTTCCTGTGCAACACATACTGGAAAACAAGTTCATCTGCCCTTTTTGTAGCTTTTAATTTGCAGTGGACAGTTAAGTTTCTTTCTAAAACTCAATTATTAATTGAACAAAAGAGGCATGTACAGACAAAAGTCTTTGCTAACTGTACTGTAAGTATAGCATGTTCATTGCAAAGCTTCATGTTACTGCTGTTGCAGCAGCAAGATATCCAAAGTAGGATAGTTACTTTCTCCTAAGATGCAGCGTGAGTGGCATTTGCATGTAAAATGTTGCTGCTGCTTTTGTTTGTTTTTTAAGTTCTAACTTCTCCAGTGTAAAATCCTCTCCAGAGCCTAAGTTAGGGTTTACCACAATTCCAGTACTCTTCAAGTATGGAGCTACATCTGGCCTGTTTCAAACAGGAAGGTGTTTATAAATCACATTTATGTAGTTTACTACAGATTTTTAATGATTTCTGATCAGCACTTTCACAACGCTGTCATCTTTGTTTTATGATTCTGATATGAAATCATTTAAGACTTGAAAAACCCATGCATCGTAACTCTTTTTTTTCCACACAATGTCTTCAGTGTAGATAGTGACTTCTGGATTCAGACCAATCAATAAAGGGGATCAGTTCTCCATTTGCTTTTCCTGTGTCTCCCTCTTGTTTTGCAGCATCAAGCTCTGTTCATGAGAACAAGCAAAACACTTCCCTTAGGGGGTGCTGCAGGGTTCCTAACTGACACTTCTAGTGTCTACAGATGGAAAAAAAAAAAAAAACAAACACCAAAACTCAAAGATTGGTTCTAAGGTTAGAGCCTTCTTGTTGGTACAAGTGTGCCTGGATCAGCCCTATCTTTAATTCAAAGCTTTGTTCTCAGCAAGCTAGATGCGTGACAGTTTTAAGCTTTATGTATGATAGTTTCTAGCTTCAATGAACATCTAACTCTAGGAAATCTGCATGTGCCTCTTCTTAACTCAAAGTAACAAAGAGCTTAAGCCACTATTAATGCTACTACTGTAAGTAAACTAATAATGCAATTAACATTGAGAGTTGTACTAAACACCTGAAGTTCTTACAAATGAGCAGTTAAAATAATGCTTGATTAGTGACAGTTACAGTTAGTTCTACTCTCATGGAAAAACATGGATTTCATAACTTCTGGTTTAATATCTTTATCTTCACTGTTAGGCTTCCTTGCAGGGAAAAACTGAAATTTTTGTTGTGCAGGCAGACTGTTTGTACATGCCTTTAAGTGAATTTAATAACTTACAAGCCTGATAGTTTGTCACATACTATCTTTTTCCAACAGGAAGCCTCAGCATTGTAGCACTGACAGCTCATGACCTGTCTAAGAAAGGAAGACAGCTGTGGCATTTAGTGTGCTCTTACTGGGGTAAGGTAGCAGAAGGTTTTAGTTCTGACAGCAGCTCTGTTTAGTAACATAGTCTTACCCCTCCTTTGAGAAGAGGTGTTCTATCTTTGGATAGACATTTTGAAGCCACACCTGATCTTTTGCAACCTGTTTGAAAATGACACAGGGCTGCAGCTCTGTCACGGTACATTCTCTGAGGTGTTCTACTGAAGCTAATGCATATTGAACTGCATCTGACAAGTACACCCTGTTGTGCTGGCCAGCATGTAAAGAGCAAAGACAATTCCTGCCTTACTTTGGATCCTCCTTCCTTAATCTGACATTTAGGCAGTGCTACCTAATGGCAGACTGTTTTCGTGACCCTAGCTTTAGGATAGCTGTGTTTTGAAACCAAATACTCTGAAGTCAGAAATAACAAGTGACTACAGGTATTAGTAACAGGCTAGGCTTGCATTTTGCTGGCAGTCAAGACTAAGTTCACTTATTAGCACAGTAGATCACTATAACCATAGACTACACCACAAACTGAAATACAGTTACGACTTCACAACTTTATTTTGGACTAAATAGGCAATAGCAACCCTTCTTGATAAGAGGTCCTTAAGTTCCTGATTGCTCTTCCTCTGGAGAATTGCACCAGTCTCAGCCTGTTTGTATTGACCCACCCTTGCTGCTGTCAGACACCTGCAGTTTGGACTCTGGCCAACTCAGGCGGAGCCCTTTCTCCTCTTGGCCAGTTCAGCTAGTTCTTCCTGGATGTGCCGGACAGAAGCAACATCTCCCTTCTGTTCTGCCTGCTTCAGAGCTTCTTTATATACTTGTCTTGCTTGCAGAAAGTCTTCTGTAGCAAGAGGAAAAAGGGGCATGGCTAGCCAATTATACCACCCATTTTCAGAATCCCCTCCTGAAGGTGACCACAGGCAGAGGACAAGCAAAAGACTACTTGGAACATGTTAAGAACTAGGGAGGTTCAGAAAACATTCAGCATAAAGTGCCAGCTGTGAGAGCTACACAGCAACTATGATGATGTGACAAGATGCTGTTTCAGCATCACAATCTCCTTGAAACAAGTCACAAGCCATATCTTTTGTCCTTTTGTAAGGGTTACTTAATGAACAGGACAAGGGAAACGAGATCCCCCTGGCTGACATTCAGATGCACCAGTACTGCATTCATCTTGGACAAGATCCTTCAGCAGCTGAATTCAGTTTGAACACAATGCAAGTTGCCTACACCAAGTCAGCAGACCCAGTAATTAAACTAAAAACTGTAATGCACAGACAGTGACATAGACAGCACATTTACTTACTTTTGTGCATCAGAATTGCTGCCAGGTTGTTCAGCACCATGTGCTCCTCAGGGTGTTGAGTCTCCTTTGCCAGTTCAGCTGCCTTTTTCACATAGGAGTATGCTTCATCATAGTGCCCCTGAGCATCCAACACAGTTGCCAAGTCATTCATGAGGACCACAGTCTGCACAAGGACAGAAAAGAAATCCTCAGAGCGAGACTCATGCCGAACTTCAGGCCAACTGGAGCCCCACATTCGTAGCCCTGTCACACTAGTAAAAGTATTGCCCAGAGAATGATTTTAGTAAGAAAGTGCCTTATTTATCTATCAGCATGCTACATGCTCAATTCTTCCTGGCAAGAAAACAGAACCCAATTCAGTGCTGTGTACGTTCAAAGCCAGCAAAGCTGCTTTTATGGCTGTCTCCTTCCCTGTGAGGACAGTTAGCCTTTCTTTCCCCAGTAGTCCAACTACCATTGTACACATCACCTGTGGATGAGTTTCTCCCTGAACTTCCTTTGAGATCTGCAGAGCCTTCTCATACATCTTTTGGGCCACGGGGAGCTGGTTAATGTTTAGGAGATAACGAGCATAGGAGTCTAGGCTCATCCCCAACAAGAGACGGGTGTTGGCTTTTTCTTCAGCTGCAAACAGAGAACAGTGGAAGTGATCACTTTGTAAGATCAAGCATGAGTTCACATCCTACAAGAGCAGGAAACCCATGTGCTGTGAAGACAATGGATTGATATGAAGATGGTGCTTGGGCAACATGGAAGGTAACAGCAAGGACAGAGAAACAAAGATAACGAGAGAAACCTTTGGCAGTTAAGGCACTCCCACCTGACAAAACATCTTCAGGCAAATCCTTTTGCTTGGCAATCTTCTCCTCTAAGGTCAGGATGCAGAACTCATAGCCAGCCAGGGCTAACTTGTGCCTGCAAAGTGCAAAAACTCATCAACGTGAGGCTTCTTCCATCCCCAAAGGGATGGATGTGAATGCCTTCATTTCCTTACTCTAGGTGGCCTGTGAGAAAACACTTCCTCTCCACCAGACCATTCTTGCCTTCAGTGCTCTATCCTTGATCATGTTCTAGGCCCTTTTCTTGATAAAAGGATCCAAGAAATGGAGAGGGCCCCCTCCCCCAGACAAGGCCAGCTACGGCCACCCACGCCAATGCTCCATCTCTTAAGAAAAATAAAGCTGCAAGTTACCAACCACCAACTGCAGTCAAAAGCCTTCACTCCTGAATGCACGTTTTGTGAGGTGTGGATTTAAGGCTAGAGAGCTATGTCCTCCATAGCTGCTTCTACCCTAAGCCAGACAGATCACAGCAATCACTGCGCTGCATGACAGTGAGCAGACAAACTGCACGCCTGTGGGCGCTTTTATGTTGGTAGTATCTTGTCACAAAGCTTCCCCAGGCACTGTCTTCTCAGAGAGAAGAGCTCCTGCTTGGCTACCACTGCCACTGTGAAGTTGAGATTAAAGCAAAAGATGCCGTTAGCAGAAAACTCACTGTTTCTGAGCAGCATAGATACTGGCCAGCTTGAGGGACATCTCAAGGACTGCATTGTCATCCTGCCAGGAGGACACAATGCAACTGTTACTGTTCTAACATCTTCCCAGTAGAACCATTACTTTGCCACAGAACAAGTTTACACCTTGAAATTGCCCATCCTGTTGTCACCAGCACTGCCATCCATTAAAGCAAGTTCCTAACAAGCCCACCACGTCATAGCTGGTATTGCCAGTTCCAGGAGGAGGTGTTACAGCACAAGAAATAGACCAAAGAACCATGCACAACGCTTAATATTTCCACTGGAAAGCCTTTATCAAAAGAACCTACCTCCTTTGTGTCTCCTGCTAGCAAAAAGCTCATAGCTGCTTTGTAGAGCTTTTCTGCCTGAAATGAGAATTTTGAAGAGAACACTGAGGAATGATGACACTTCAAACATCTTTACTCTTTACAGAAGGAGACTGCTAGGAGAAAACTGTCTCAAACTTTGCAATACAATTGCTATCAAGACCAGTGGAAAGTGAAAGGCCAACCAGAGCCTGATGCTAGTGTTAATTCAGGTCTCCTACGCCAACCACGAGTTTATCACATCTGTATCTCTTCACTGCTTGCCTGGGTTCTCCTTGTGACAGTCCTCTAGATGTTCGACCATGGCTTTTCATAATAAGAAATATACCTTCCCTTGCTCACCACATTGGAGCTTGCAATCCAGCTGGGAAAATACTACTCTAAGCAGCACAGGATCGCAGCCCCAAGGCAGGTTATTTTGCTGTAGAACACGAGATTCCTGCCTCACAACTCTCAGGATACAGCAAGTCACACCGCACCTCCAAGATCTTTGACAACACCCCACGTTGTGTATCAGACTCTTACAAGGAAATAAAAACAAAACACCGGGGCTACTCACGTTGTCCAGCTGCCCCTGCATGAAGGCCACGTTTGCCATCTGGAAGAGACAGACGTTGCGCTGAAAGCTCCACCGCCGGGCCCAGCCTCACCACCACCTCTCGTCCTTCCACACACGGCTTCCCAGCACCACGCCGTGCCCGTGCCCTGCGACACGGCCCTGCCCCGAGCAGGACAGCACCGAGCAGCAGTTACCATGCTGTAGGTGTAGACGATGGCCCTCTTGTCGTCCGCCTGGTGCGCCAGGTGCAGGGCTTGGTGCAGAAACCTCTCGGCCTCCCCCAGCTCGCCCTTCATCATGCTGAGCTGCAGTGGGACACAAAAAGAGAGATTTGGGGTAAAACGAGAGAAATGGGGGGTAATTTGTGTGGGGGGGAACACCTCATGCCGCCCTGTCCACCCTCACCTTGGCTCTCTTCAGCAGCAGCACAATGGCGGCCTCGCCGTCCTCCTCGGCGTCCCTGGGGAAGAGCGAGAGGGCTGCGGGGCGAGGCTCAGCCCTCCCCCACCCCCCGCTGCCCCCTTCCCCTCCCCTCACCTCCAAGGAAGCCCAGAGCCGGGCCCGGCCGGGCCCACCCCAACCGCCACCGGGCGGCTCCCGGCCCCGTTCCCTGTCCCGTGCCTCCACCCCGCTCTTGTCGGGCCCCCCAGGGCCGGGCCCGTGCCCGGGGGAGCCCCGCGGGGCAGCGCCGCACGCCCAGGGCCCGCCGCAGCCCCGCCGCCAGCATCGCCCTCACCCCCCCCCACAGCCACACGCGGGCCCTTTAAGAGCTCGCCCTCGCCACGTGACGCGGGGGGGGGGGGGGCGCGTCACCTGTTGCCATGGCGACGAGGCAGATTCTAGGCCTAGAGAGGCTCGAGTAGGCCCCGCTAGGCCGCGAGGTCGCCGCCGCCTCAGCCCCAAACGGCCCCGAACGGCCCCGAAGCGGCTCCCCCTGCCGGGACCGATCCCGGCTCTGCCGCCCCGCTGAACGGGCCCGGTCTGCGATGTCCGCCGTGACCTGAAGGGCTTCCCGCTGCCTCCCGCTCCCTGCAGGCCTGAGGCGGGTGCCCCGGGGATGGGCAGCACCCTGCCGGCTGTGGCGGAGGAGCTGCTGAAGGAGCTCAGGAGGGTGTTTCAGGAGACGGCGCACGGTACGTGACGGGGGCGGCTCCGTCCCTGAGGGCGGTGGTGTCAAAACCTCCAGGGAGCAGCAGGTGGGGGCTTCGCTGTCGTGAGGGGCAAGCTGGGGGGTCGCTTCCAGCTCCTCCGTTTCACAAATGGCATTAAATTACGGATAACGAGGAGCAGCCCCCTTCTCAAAGCCAGGCCCCTTCAAAACTGAGGCCAAGTTGGGCACTTTTGGGACCTAGAGGCATTCTGCCTGCCTGTAGTGCAAGTGGCTGCATGTGAGGGGTGAGCATTTCCACACTTTTCTGTAGTTGTTTTGTTGTGCTGCTCCTTTTATAGAGCATTTTATGTTTTTAACCAGAGTTAAAAGGGAATTCTTTGTAAAAATGAACGTGTTTCATCACTGACCAGCAGAGGGTGTTGCGTTAGCCAGCCCGTGGCAGGGAGCTGCTTGCCCATTGCTGAGGTGGAGGCAGGAGCTTCCAGTTAAACCCAGGCCAGTTCTAGCTGCTAGTTAAGAACGATGCCACTCATTGCCCTCTGGATTACTAACAGAGTTCTGTAATCTGTGCAACAATCTGTGTAAAAGAATATCGCTGTTTGTGCTTACTGGGTAAGAAGTGGAGAATGGTTCTTGCAGAGGAATTTGTGTAAGGAATATTTCTACCTGCACTAAAACCAACCCAATAAACATCCAGAGGAGTCTGAGTGCTACATTTGAGTGGGACATGGACAAAGACTTAATATCTAAACTGGGTAACCACCTGGGTAGCTTTTTGGCATACTTGCAGTATGGCTCCTGTCAGGTTAAAGAAGATCCAAAATGTACATGTGACTTTTTAAAGAGCTTTACAAATATAAAGCTTATATACACTTTATATAAAATTTATCCCTAAAGCACCAAAACAGTATGCTGGAACATAACTGAAAAGAAACTGATCAATCACTTCAGAGACCTAAATTAGAGGAAAGTTGGAAAAGTCAGACCAACGGTATAACAGTCATAGGGAATATTTTGAGTTTCTGGAACAAAGGCTTTTAAAGTCAGAAGACCTATTTTTCCAGTGGAATAACAAGGCACAGTACACTGTGTCCCATTAGTGATAACAGAAAGATCAGATTGGGTGATCAGAGCCTCAGCTGTCAGCTAAAACAAACAGACTACTTTTCCGAAGTGCAATTTTCCGTCTTAACAAGAAGTTCTAATAAATGAAGATTTTTTTTTTTGCGTGCGTACTGTTTTAAAAGCCATAAACTAGTGGTGCCCTGAAAGACTGTGCTGGGAAAAGAACAACATTGTCGAAGTTTTGATGCCACAAAGTTCTCTACTCACGCCAAGAGAGTTTCAGGGAAACCAATATATGTATTTTTAACCAGCTTCTTAAAGAGGCAGAGCAAGATGTTGAAGCTGTGCGCTCGTAAAAGTAGGATATTGTAAAAGTTCGGGTATTTGGACTTCCACGTTTCTTTTTAAAATTAATCCCCGTGGTCTGAATGTATGTGTAATGTGTATTTAATTGCTGTACTTGATAAATGCATAAAGAACAAGGAGTCACACTGAAAGTGCAAGGGTTGTGGCCCTTGGAACAAGGGGGATTGATGATTTTCTTGAACAAGACTGAGGAAACTTCCGCTCCTACATTAACTAGGAAGAACCCAGCTTTGGGCTGGGAGCGGGTGCACGTTGGAGTGGAGATGGTGGAAAGGAGGGGGCTGGAGCCTGGTGGGGTGCATCAGGCCCGGTGAGGGGAGCGGCAGAGCTGCTGTGAAGAGGGCCCAGGCCCAGAATGGGACGTGGGAGGCTCAGGACTGGAACAGAGGGGCGGGCAGGATGGTGGGAACAGCAGGGCACTTGATTGTTTTCAATTCAATGTGGTTGACACAGCAAGGAGCTAAGACTGACAATGACAGCGTTGCCTGACTCGATTCTGCGTGCCGTTGGGTTTTGTGGAACTTGAGCTGTTTGGCCTGGTGTGCTCAGCCAGAGCTCCAGACACAAGAGGTGGGGATGGCAAACTCCCAGCCACGGTCACATCTCCTGTCCCCTCACACTGTCCTAACTAAAATTTTCTACCATGGCAGATCATTTTGCTGCTCCTTGTTTCTTTTTGGTGACTAGAAGGGATGGGTAGAGTCCTGTTTGGCCTCTGGGGGTAGATTAGGATGACCCTACCCTCCCAAGGCTAGCCTGCGATCAGCATCCTAGCCTGTCATGTTGTTTTATGCAGTGGGGGAGTTCAGCAAAATCACCCTTCATTTTCTTTTTGTTGCAGTCCCTGATGACCTGCTGCTGGGGTAAGTATCTTTTCCTTTGCTTCCTGTCCCAGTGTCCTGTTAAAGGGCAGTTGATAACTTGCTGTCATCGTAGTGCAGCTGGTTTTCTTCTGCCTTTGACCAGTGCATATTTCTCAGGCACAGTTTCTAACTAAGTGCGTGTGCTGGTAGTGGGAACGAAGGTTCTTGTCTGAAGGGTTTTTCCAAATTCATGAAATTATCTCTGTATCTCTGAATCTCCTGTGATGACTTGCACTAATTTGGGTGGATAAAACATGCAGAAACCCAGAATGTTTAACCTGAGCTCTGAGTCCGCCCTCTGATCCAGAATGAGTTTTCTGTGAGAGTGGACTGTGTTTCAGTGATTCATGGCACTGGAACGCTGCGCTCCGCTGCGTTTCTATCAGTGTGAGCACAACGGCATCCTGAGAGCCCTTCTTCTGCTTGAGTCATGCGTGTGTGCTGGAGAGGGAGAGCTGAATGTGTCTCTGTGCACCAACCAGGTAACGATTCCCTTGAATATTATCCTGAGTTTTCTTCCATTTAGTGTAATTGTCAGGTCAGCTTTATAACCTTTGCATTGACTGACACTCATGAATATGTCAGCAAAACACAAGAAGCTTCCTAAGAGATCCAAGTTCTGCAGTCCTCACAGAGTGGTGATGAAGGTAGAGAAAAGGCACCATTGCAGTGAGAAAGACTTTTTTTTCGGATTCATATTTAGCTTTGTGTCCTTGCCTGCCTGTAAATTAGCCAGGAGAGGAGATTACCAGGAACCCTTCAGGCCTTGATGGCTTTGGGTCTAAAGTAACCTAATACAACACTTGTGAAAGGTATGCTTGCTGACTCCTTCTTCTGGACCACAGTGGCCTTTCAAGGGTAGGATTATATTTGACAAGTCTCTTTTTTGCTCCCTTCTCCTCAAAAAAGAAAAAAGGAGAGAAAGTGCCTTGTTAAGTTTAGTAACACTTGGGTGGTAACTCTTGGCAGTTGGATTTCCACCAGTTCCCTGTGACCAAGGGCTCTGAAGTATTCTGATTTAATTTCTGAATCTCTTCCAAATATCTGAAGAACTTCAATTTCCTTTGGGCATTCCCCTTACTTATTTCCTGTTAGACTGATCAAATTATGTACATGAAAAAAGAATTCCCCAAATTTGAAAGAGTTACTGAAACTCATTAAACTCAGGCCTATTATAGTTCCAAATCTAATCATTAAGGAATGCCTTACGTTGAGTGTTCCCCCACCCACCTCCTTTCAGTCTGTCAGATGAAACCTATCCTTACTGCCTTGAGTTTGTGCAACTGAAGTTTTGGTCTTCCTGGAATAAATCTGTCTTCTTGGCTTGTTATCAATGAGATTGACTCAGCCGTGTAGGTCAGCCGTGCTGTTGAGACGCCAGGGCTCTGCCTTGGCTCTTTGTGTCTTCACTGGAGTTGGAAACTTTCCTCTGCTTTCTCCTGTTCTCCTGCTCATGTTTCGTGCTATCTTTTCATCACTGCTGATTTTCTTCTTGTTTACCCTTGCAACTAATCTAGACTACGCAGATTTTTCTCAGTGGATAAAAGGTCTGTAAAGATTAGCTCAGTTGCCTCTGAGCTCTTTGGAACTCGTTCAGAGTGGCCGGATGTACAGGTCTAGAATAACTTTTAAGCTTATGAGCTGTCTGGACAATAGACTAAAGGTACAGCTCTCCAGGTCTGACGTATGGCTTATCGTAAACCCTTACACGGCATCAGCAGGAGAGAAAATCCTCCTTGAATAGCACTAACTCTGCAGACAAGGAGGATGTTGATGGAACCTGCTGTGCCCTCAGCAGTCACAGCTCTTTACTTTTCCGCTTGCTGGTGTAGAATTTTACAGCACCAAGCGCAGCAGCGGCCAGACCCCAACACATGCCTTTATGGTGCTGCCTTGCAGCACTGAGACAGAGGAGAGAGTTGTGCAGAGGCACGGTTGATCTGGAAGCAAATATGAACCTGAGCAAATCTGGCTCACCTAGTCTCTTCCCCATCCCAGCAAGCTGCCATCTGTAAGTGCCGTGCAGTGGTGTGTCCCGGCATGGTGATGTGTCCTGCTTGGAAGGGAAGGAAAGGGAAAGTTTTTTAGGGAGCATGGAATGATGTAAGGCGTGTGCTGTTCCTGGGTGTGTATCAGGAATGAAGTCGTCCCTGGGCCTTGCTGGTAGATGAATTATAGACATGAAACTACTGCTATTGAGTGGCTCCACTTGCAGTGTAATGCCTTAAATATTTTCCAGACAGTCCTTAGCTTCCTATTGCTGCAATTTTGGGTAGAAGAAGAATAATTTGTAACTCAGTTGTGACTGTGATCAATGAGACATAATCACTTTAGAATGGCTCATTTGTTCTTCTGGGTGTAAACCAGTTTTCCAGGGATCAGGAAGGAGTCCTGTTGCTCAAGGAGTTATGTATCATCGGTGCTCTTTGCTCTGAGGCGTGATGTGTGGCTGTGACTGGAGGTGGGATTCAACTGATCAGTCGGTCCAGGGGAACTCAACCAGGACTGCCACGCCAGATATGCTGCCCCAGAATAACTCCTCACCTACATAGCTAACGCTGCCTCACAGCCACAGAGACTGACTGTAAAAATCTCACTTCTGTGTGTCTGATGCACTTTGTCTTATTTTCGTTCAGGACAGGAACCACTTCATGTCCTGTTTGTGCAGCAGGCAGCCAGAAATATGTTTGGGTCATAGTGCTGCAGAAGAATCACATAAGGTCCCATGTAAAAAAATAAAAATCCTTAAAATGCCTTGTAAATAAATCTGAGGTGGGTATTGCAAAGAGATGTGGGACTGCTTGGGAGCAGTTTGGGATTTTGGAAGTTCTCAGGAACACCCCAAACCACGTAGGTGCTCAGAATAGCCGTCAGAGGGAGGCTGTCCTTGAGGACAGAGTCCCTGAGAGAGGTTGTCATCTGGGGTTGTCTCAGAGAGCTGGGCAGGGACTGGCACTCACTCAGTGAAAGAAAAAGCTGAGAAAGCCAGGTGGACACATCGCTTGTTAGCGTAGTGAATGGAGCAGTAACTGGTGGGATTTTGAGGTGCAAAGGGAATTTTTGGCTACAGGCCTCCTGTGGATTAAAGCTAAGCCAGGTGGTCTCCTTTTGTGGCATGACCGAACTGGAGACACTTTCTCTTTCAGGCTGAAGTTCATATTTGGCCCAGCTGCTGTCCCAGCCTTGGATTTGGTGGATCACCGTTCTGTCACGCGAGTCGTGTCCCCCAGCGGAAGGACAGCATACCAGGTGTGGGCATTGTTTGTCTCCTGTTTCACTATCTGATGGTTTCCAGTTGACAACTGACCCAATATCTTCCTAACTTGCAGAGCATGGAAGTGCACTTGGATAAACACAGAGGCAATATCGGTGTCTTACAAACCCGCTCTTGCAGCAGCCAAGAGGAACATTTCTAAATACTGTCCCTGCAAAGGGCCTTCCCTCCTTTTCTGGAGGTGCTGAGATGCTTTGGGGTCATCTAGGGTAAGAGAATTGCTGGGAAACCAGGCCTGGGTAGCGACACAAATATTTTTCACGTGTTCAGGGCTTGCATTGCTTGGTTTGCACGTGGAATCTTCATCGCTTCTGGGGCCTTGGAGAGGAATTCTGCCCCTCCAAAGCGGCATGATTCATAAACATAAAGGGCTCAAGAACACAGGCTCCAATTTGAGGTGAGGGCTGGCCGGTGGGTATTTGGTGCAGCCTAAGAAGCACTGCTTCCAGGACCTTTAGACAGCAGCTGCCTCACTAATTGAATGCTTTAAGGCTTTTCCTTTTTTACTGTTGCTCATCTGAATATGTCACTGGGCAGAGAGTGGTCACATTGTCCTCGCAGAGCTTTGTCAGGCCTCGTGGGCTAAGGCAGAGCATTGCAGGGCGGGATGCACTTCACTTGCCCCCCTTTGTGTGAAGGATGAAGGGGACAGTCAGAGCCTCTGGGCAGCCCAGGGAGCTTGGATGTGTGCTCACCCACTGACAGTTTATCTGCGGTGTGGCGGAGCTATCTGCATCTCCAGAGGCTTGATATTCATCTCTTAGACCGAGGAAGCCTAATGAGATGGAGAGGAAATCAGAAGCATGACAAGAGGGTTTGGATGCTGCAGGGAAGGAACCCCTGGACAGGGTGGTCAGGGCTGGCCATCAGGAGGTGATGTGGGACAGGCCCAGCCCTCAGCCAGGTGCCGTGCAGCTGATGGCAGCTGATGGGGCAATGTTTGCTGCTCCAGCAGCGTGTGCCGGTGGCCTGCAGGAAGCAGTCCCTGCCCGCAGCCTGCAGCCCCACGTGTCCTTCTGAGCAGCATTCCTTGTAGTGCAGCTCCCTTGCTCATTAAGGCCATGCTGATGAGTTCATTTACAGAGGAATCTGAAGAGCTGTTTTCTCTGGGGGCGTGAGGCCGGTCCCATTGCGAAATTCTTCCTCAGCACAGCTGTCTGAGAGGCAGAAACAGAGCAGAGCCTCTCTCTCGAGGCCGTCGGCTGGAGCCTTGACGGGAACACAAGCTGGGGCTGCAGAAACCAAAGCGCTAAGCGGGACGCTGCACGCAGGGTGGCTGAGTAGTGTCACTGGCTCTTGAGTCACGCTTCTGTGTGGTGCAGGCGCTGGTCCCAGCTGTGTGCACTTCTGCAGCAGAGAAGCACGCCCAGTGCAGTGGGGGCAGGGATCATCTGTGAGCGTTTGGACGCAGGCTCAGTCATCCCTCAGTCCCCAGAAGGTCAGCTCTGCCCTGCCGTTTGCACCCAGATGTGGGTGAGCTGGAATGTGAAGTGGTGCTTTCACCCACAGCTGGGTCTGGAGAGCTCTTGTTGGTGAGGCCACGAGGTTGGTCCTGTTATGAAACTCCTCTGGGTCCTCGTAGCCAAATCTGAGCTGTTGATACTTCCCAGGCTGTTTGTTCCATATCACTCAGCGCATGTTGGGCACTGCTTTGGGGGAAATGGCTCTGCTCAAGCAGGCCTTAGGACTGCAGCCTGTCGTGTAGACAGCTTTTGCCCTCAGGAACCGAGATGCAAGAAGGAGCCCTCAGTCAAGTGAAAACCATGAGTTAGCTTTTAATGCCCAGGCATTAATGCCTTTGCTACTTAGTACGGGGGTGGCACTGACAGGGTGTTCAAGGCCAATGTTACCTTAGGGTTGTAAATCATCCCAAAAGAGCTTGTGTAATATCTGCCTACATTGCAGGCTGTTGCCAGCCCCGGTAATTCCAGGTCAGGGATAAGTCCTACCTGCTGCAGAGGTGGCAGATGTTCACTGGCGGTGGAGCTTGCTGGATGGTAAGTGGTGAGCAGGAGCAGCTGGGGCACCTCCTTTAGCTGTGCCTGAGTTGCAGAAAGGCTGTGAGCTGCAGGAGTGAAGGCAGCTAGCAGGGGGAAGGGTCAGTGCTCTAGTCCTGCCACCAGCCATCACTTCCATTGCTCATGTCCTGCATTTTTATTGGTTTCTTCTTTTATGAGTCTTTTTAAATTAATTTCTTAGAACTCTGGCAGCCTGTCCCACCTTGAGGATGAGAGCACCAGGCCCTGGCACAGAGTGGTGCTGCCTGGCAGTACGCTGGTGCCAGAGCTGGCTCTTCTGTGTCCCTGCATGCTGGCAGGGACACCACCACCAAGGTTATTTTTCCTCTCGGTGCTGCCAACAAGCGCCTGGCAACAAGGGCAGCGGAAGGAAATCTCCGAGCATCTCAGGGCCAAGAAAGCACCCCAGCGCCTGGGTTGGCTGCAGCTGCCCAGAAATGGAGGCACCTTTTTCTCTTGGTCTTTGGAGTTTAGATCCTGCCTTATTAGGCAGAAGCTGCATTCTTGCCGTCTAGGTCAGGCTGGGGGATCTCTAAGCTCAGCCCAAATCTGGCCGTCTGTGACTTCCCCCCCCTCCTCAAAGGAAAACACTTCTGAAAGAAAGGCACCATCAGAATACTTCATCTTGGAAAAAAACAATCAAAGGGGCTAGAGAAAAACAAACTTATCACAAGTGAAACAAACAGCCTGGAGTATAAGAGGGGCCAGGGTAAAGGCCAGACTCTGAAGAAAGTCTGATTTCCCCTGAAATAAGAATGTGGATCTTGTGTCCTGAATCTGCTGGGAGAGATGGGGGATAAGAGGTGTAGCACGGCGGGGGGAGAGCTCAGACCTGCAGGCCTCACCCACCGGGCAGGGGCTGCAGAGAGAGCTGCAGGGGACAGGGAAGGGACCTTTAGCAAGTACAGTTCTGGACCCTGAGGGATGATGTTCTTCTGGAGGGACTTCACAGTGCTGGGGACCTCCTGGGGGAGCAACACTCTGCAGAACCTCCACCGCCTTTTTCCTTTTTTGAGGAATTTTTACGTTGAAGTGCACGTGCCATGAATCCAACCAGAATCTAAAGCCTGGTGTGAGAGGAGCGTGGTGTGCCATCAGAGCCCGGACCTCGTGCACAGAAGAAAGCTCTGCTGTGATGGCACCTGTGTAATGCCCTACTGCTCTCTGAAATACCCCCTAAAACTTAGTGCCAGCCACTTGCTCTCGCTATGGCAAATACAACACACATCATGGCACACGGTCTGCTGGAACTGCATTTTGGGGTAACTGGGTTCAGTTTAAGCCTCAGAGCATCAGGGAAGTCCACACTGTTCAGGGCAGGTTTCTGCTCCTAGTCTGTGAGTGTGTTCTTGAAAGAGGAGGAGGGCAGAGCAGATTGCTCTTAAAATATCTTTCTGAAAGCTACTTTCCAGTCTTGAAGAAGGCAGAAGAGAAATAATCCCTAGGTTGGCTTTTCTGTATCAGGCAACCAGCTCGAGCAGTGCAGTTTGCCTGTCAGCTTCATGCTGGAATGAGCGCTTCCCTCACCTGGCTGCCCGCGTCCTGTGCCCGGGGAGGAATATGAGTCAGTGCCCGCCTTGCAGAGGAGCAGCACGTGGGAAAAGGAGGCAGTGCTGTTCCCAAACCAGAGGTGAAGTAGGGAGGCTTCTTCTCTGGAGACTTGAACTTTGTTTATTCAGGCAAAACTGGATTCCAATGGCTGCAGCTGTTTTCGGGAGCAGAACAGCAAGAGCCTTTGCAGCCTCCAGCGCTTGGTGCTGGATAGAAAAGGGCTCGCTGCAAGTGCTTACTGCTGCTCTCCTTCCATCCGCAGGTCATTGGAGGCCCTGGATTCATCAGTGTGCTTTCTGTGACAAGGCTTTGGGTTATCTTCAACCACCCAGGGTCTGACAGTACTGGGTTGGGGCCTGGCTGTAGGGAATTTGGGAGACTGCGGTGGGGCTCTGTGCTCAATGCCTCAGCCCTTTTCCTGATCTCTCAGCAGCAAAGTCACTGGAGCCAATGTCTGCTACAAACACAGGTGTACGTACAGGAGCTTTCTTCTCCTGTAGGGAGAGAAGTATGTAGAGATGCAGAAAGCTGAGGAGTTTCAAGCTTAATGTGTGTCACTGCAGAATTTGGGGCCCCTTTTGTATTTTTGTATTGCAGCATCTGCTCGCCTGCTGCATGCTGTGAGTCACTGTGGAAAGGATGTCAGACCAAATACAGGCCAGGAGTTAAAGAAATTGAAAGTGAATGTTCGCTCTGACTCCCACGCCCTCTGAATAACTTTCTTTCAGGTCCTTGGGACCTCGGGTAAACTCTACACCTGCTACAGCTCCTGCCACTTCTGTACCTGTCCTGCTTTTGGTTTTACTGTACTGCAGAAGAGCGAGAGCCTGCTGGTAAGTTGTCTGCCCTAACTTGGGGTCAGGGCAGGGTGTGGGGCAGAAGGCTGGGCTGATTTCTCCTCCCCGAACCACAGCAGCCTGAAGTTTCCAAGGGAGCAGATACGTGAGTGTGGACTTGGCCGTGCGGGCTGCGCCTGACCCAGTGCACAACCTGGCCTCCAGGAGTCACAACATTTAGATGGAGCTAGGCCTGCAAGGGCTGGGAAGGGCTTTTGCTCTTAATTATGTGTTACTTTTCAAGAGATGAACAGTTCCTGGTTTCTTGGAACAGGGGCCACTGCTGCAAATACAACTGCCACATAGAGGCTGGCTGATGCGATGGGGCTCACCTGGTGCCCGTGAGGAAGGGCTCAGGGTCACTAACGGGTCTGTCTTTGTGCCCCTGTGCCAACCATCCCTCCTGCATGGGAAGCCCGCCCATTCCAGGAGCTCTGTGAGCTGGGCCTGATGCTCTCACTTCCTAGAGCGGTGCGGGGTGTGTGAGGGCTGCCAGATGATGCAAAGCCAACTCTTGCTCTTTGTGGCCTGGACCTACCTGCTTCTGCACCTGGCGTGCTCGTGGGGAGGGCAGCAGGATCCGGTAACACTTTGCCATGTGTCAGACCCCTGTATGTGTCCTGACTGCAGAGACCTGGGGCAGCTCGAGCTCCAGGCTTGTTTCTTGGTGTGACAAGAGGGAAACGTGTACCTGGGGAGGTGAGAACTTCCCTAGACACATTCTGGCCTGGATGCTTTTTTGTGGCTGTCAGATGGAGCGTGGCATTCCTGCACTGCTCCTGCTGTTAACTTTTCCATGCTGTTATTTGCAGTGCAAACATATCCTTGCTGTCTACCTCAGCCAGGCCCTGGGAGCCTGTCAGGAGCTAACAGTCTCTGAGGAGCAGCTCACAAACATCTTACTGGCTGAGGAAGAGGACGAAGGATGAAGGACTTGGATCACATGCAGATGTACTTGCTGTGTACCCTCCTGGCTGCACAGCCAGCACGTCTACGAGGCTGCCATTGCAGCTGCTAGGTTTCTTCCTGTGCTGTAGCCAAATGTGGCATTAATTAGCAGCTTTGCACTGATTAATTAATTAATAAATGTTAAGAAGCCTGTGCTGACTTCGGTTTCATTTGTTTAAGCTGTTCTTGGGATTTCTGAAGATGTTTGAACTGATCTGTGGCAATGTGGAGACACAAACAGTCCGGCAGGTCTCTGGGTGACCACGGAGCCTCATTAACCGCGCCCACTGTGGCTGCCCCCAACCCTGCCCAGGACCCACCAGGTTTTGGGGACTCGGCCTTGCAACGAGTGAGCCTGCAGTGGCTCTTAGCAGCAGGCTGCTCAGGGCAATTTCCAATCCATTGATGGCAAACCCGTACCGGGGACTGGGGAGGGGATTCCCTCAGCACCTCCAGCCTGGTGACAGCTGTGTGGGCCTCGCTTCAGTGCTTACTGTAACACGGGGTCTTTGGAGGAGTCACCCGTGGTTCTGCTTTTAGATCGACCTAGTTCAGACAAGCCGACCACCTCCTGCTGGCAGGCAGGGCAGGGCTGGGCCCACCAGATACAGGCAAAAGAGGCGACTGCTGCTCCCCTGCTCCACACAGCAAGTGAGCCAGGAGCTGGCTCCTTCCAGCTCCGTGACTTCCATGCTCTGAGACTGGTCTCCTCCCCAGGCCCAGTGTTTGTGTGATACACCGTGTGAACACAACACCGCACAAAATGATGGGGCACAGGCTGAGCCAAGTTGTGTAGGTGGTAAATTAAGCATTTTGTATGTAAATAACAAAGTCACTGCAAATACAAAATCTGAGCAACATGAGGAAAACACATCCATCCTATGTACATCAGAGCAGTAACGAGTGACAGCTGCACATCCCCAGCTGCACTCTACAGAAAGTTCCTCTGCCATTTTCACATTTTTATAGAAACTTTCAGAGCTTTTTTTGAGGAGGGGTGGGAGGGTGTCCTATTTTTATTTTGCCTTGAAATGACTTTGGCTCAGATCCATGAAGGCACTTAAAGTGCCTAAATGCCACGGTGACCCAGGCCATGGTTACCGGCACATTCACACAAGGAAATGCCTCATCTGTGTAGAGGGATTCTGGCTCATGAGAGGCATATGGAAGGTAGCAGTCGTGCATGCTGCTCTGCAGTGCTGTCACACACAGTTCTGGGACATCTCCTTGCGTGGCGGTGCTGTGCACTTCAGTCTGATCTGTGCTGTCCAGAGCTCGGTTCATTTTCGGCGAGCAGGAGGGGAGGGATTGCGTTCTTTGTTGGAAGGATAAATGTGGCTTGCAACCACTTTGCAACACTGCCAGACCTGCAGGTGAAACCCTGCTTGTTTCCAGCCATGATTAACAGAAGGAACATGGCCAAAGATAATACAGAAGGGAAGGAATGAAAGGAGAGCCAAACCCTGCCTAAATGGTGGGAGGCTGCTACATGTGTTAGCTGGACCACGACCAAGGCAGATGCAGCAAAGCTGAGTGGGGCGGTTAAACAAGAAACCCTCTGGACAGTAACTTTGTTCAGATTCATCTTGGGAATGCCAGGATCTGAGATACCGAGCTGTGGCTGAACTTGGGCATTGCCTAAGCATGTGCTAACCCCACTGGTGCTTCACCAAGGCCTGGGTCTGACTCTAACGGCTCAGCTGCTGCACATGGTAGTGAAACCCACCACTTCCAGCAACCTGTGGGCATGGTGGGCCCTCGGGCATACCTGCAGCCTGCAGGTCACACAGCTGCCACTGCAGATGCTGCAGGAGCGGGATTTCTTCAGATTTTCAGGAGCTGGATCTGTTTAAATTTCCTTCCCTGCCACTGAAAGGGCTGCTCCCCACCTCTGGCTCCCTGCATGGCTGAGGAGGGCTGGTATTCTGGGTTACCACTGAAAACTCCAGCTTCTGTTTGGTGATGTCTGACTCCTTTCCTCACCCCGTTCCTCTGCTGTGGAATGGAAATGGCCCGCTAAACAAAAGGCCTCCCAGAAACACCGGGTTGCTGGCAGCAGTCTGGAGACGTGGCGCTGGTACTTTGGAAAATACGGCGCTCCTCTTCCCACCTTTGTGTAGCTTTGTGTACCACGGTTACATATTAAATCAGCTGCAGTAATTACCGAGCTGTGGCTGCAGAGTTATTAACTCCCAGCCCAGACTAACACCGCTCTGCTGCTGAGGGCCTTGCGCTCCGGCAGGCCGGGGCTCTGTGGCTGTGGCGTCAGGGCCCTGCAGTGCCAGGCCAGCTCCGGCCCCACAGCGCCTGGCCAACAGCAGGCTGTGAGTCAAAGCGTTCTCTCAAGCAAGTTCGTTCCCTTCTTGTCTCTTCTGCTACTGATGCAGGTCAGGATTAAAAAATGAAAAATGACGATTAGAGCACTCACAGCTTCTGGGGTTTGTAGGAATGAGGTGAGTGGCAGCACCCAGCTATCACAGCTAAAACCTGCGCTTCTGAAACACTGCAAGTCTGTCAAGTTTTGATGTGGAAGCAAAAAAAAATAAAAATTGGGGGGTGGGGGGGGGAAGTGTTGCCAGAGCTCTTGGAGAGTTTGGACCATGACAGCCAGAGCACATCTGCCTTCTGCATTTTGATAGCAGGAAACAGATATGAAATAAAACCTGAAGCATTGGGCTGCACAAGTTAGTATATCCTGTAGAACAAAGTTATTTAAAGGCAATAAAAGTGCTGTTCTACAGCTTCAGTCAACCCTTTTCTAAAGTTTTCTCTTTTAGTAAGTACGGCTTCGATAATGGGGCTGGAATACATGGCCAGGTCTGATCTTGTTTCCCCATCAGCACGGCCGCGTCTCTCAGAGCCTGGGACACGGATTCAGTTTCACACCAGCAACTGGGCTAAGACTTTTTCCCATTGGAGAATACTAACTGCATCAAACAATTGATGGAATAATTAGGGTATTACCAAAGTGCTGTCAAGTATGAACAACCCCAAAACACACAACATTATTACTCCTATATCAATAAAGAGATTAAAAATAATAAAAATAATAAAAATAAAAATCCGAGGACTTGACATGAGCAGCACGATCGGGGAAACACCCCCAGCAGGTGGGTCCTCCACAGTCAGCATCTGACCTGGAAAGGAAGCACAACGCGACCAGCAGCGCTCATGCAACCTGGCTTTACAGTAGAGGGTGAACTGCACTCAGTCTCCCCAGTCAGGTTATCCCTCTAGGAGGCACTATGTTAATTACAAAAATAAAAAAAATACAGCTGCATAACTGCATAGTGGTCATTTGTGAGCACTCCCGGAGGAGCTGGCTGTAACTGTCACGTAGGCACAGGGAGGAGTAGTGTCAGGGTCAGGCTGCAGCGCCCCGGGAGCAGGCTGTGCAGGGTCAGAGGGTCCCAGGGGCCGCTGGAGCGTTAGCGTTGGTGACAGTCAGGTGCTGCTTGTTGTCAGTGGTGCACTTGGGGAAGTCGTCCGTCTTACAGAGGATCTTGGAAATGATTTTGCGGAAGGTGTAGCGGAAGTCCCTGATCCTGTAGGCATAGATGATGGGGTTGATGACAGAGTTGGCGTGCGAGAGGATGATGGCCATGTACATCACCCACTCGGGCTTGGATTTGGAGAACTCCTCGTGGAAGTGAGTGATGCAGTTCAAGATGTGCAGGGGCAGCCAACAGAAGGCAAAAAGTCCCACGATGATGGCCAGAGACTTGGCTGCGTGGACCTCCTTCTGCAGTGTGGTCCGGGAGTTGCCCATCAGCTCGATCTGATGCAGCTGTTTGCAGGCAACAATAAATATCTTAATGTAGATTCCCAGCATGATGACGAGCGGAAGCAGCACGCAGCCAAAGAAGTTGAAGTACACCATGTAGCTCATAGTCACCACGTTCTCAAAGAGGCAGGAGATGAAGCAGCCGTGGTGTTTTTCCCCGGTGCCAGACCCCGTCTCGTTGGTGGAGTTGGGACAACCGCTCATGGCTTTATTCCAGCCCATAAGCGGCGTCAGCCCGATTGCGAAGGACAGGAGCCACAGCACAGCGATGAGGCCTCTCGCCCTCTTCCCCGTCACCAGACTGTTATACCTGCAGCATCGAGACGAGAGCCGAGATAGGGGCATTAATTACCTGAGCGCTCATGACTTCCCTGCAGTTAAAGTCATCGGTGTTTTGACCAACGCCACAAAATCCCCACCCACACCCCCATGGGAACCTCACCTCTGTGATCCTCGAGGGGTAAAAAATCTCACCTCTGCTCCACGCCTACGCGAGGTGATTTGGGGAGCTGAGTCACGTACTATTCCCGTGGGCTGCCAAGCACTGCCCTGGCCCGCGAGCATCAGCCCGGTGAGACTTCAGTAGGAGGTAAGGGCACGGAGTCTTAAAAAAGGCTTTATCATTGCATGAGCCTAAACCACTGACTACACGGATGGCCAGCACACGGCGGTGGAAGGCTCACTCCGCAACCAGCACCTGGCTCTCCTGGCTCAGCACCCACCGCTGGGCACGCCACGGCGCGCTGCTGGGCTTCGTGAACTTCTGGGCTGACCGATTCCGGCCGAGCCAGTGCTGGCTCCCACTTGTACGCTGTGATGGGCAGCCAAAGGCTTAACCAGCATCGGCCCACATTCCTACAGCCCCTACACCGCAGGCTGCTTGCTTCAACTTGGGCTGCTCTTACGCCTGCAGCAATGCTGGCTTTTACTGCAGATTGCAGCGGTCCAGTAATGTGCTGGCCATCCCTGTGCTACCTCGTACACCGACGTGGGAAGTACACATGTGTGTGGAAACCATGGATCCTACCAGTTTCCCAAACAGTGCAATTGCTGGCTCACACATGCCAGACTGCAGCCCACGCGAGCTTGTTGTGGCTGGATAGCAAACACCCTGGCAGAACTCTGAGCCAGCATCTGCTAATGATGAATTGCTCAGGAGATTTACAAGCAAGGGTTTGTGTCTCCATTCCGAGTGGAATGCCAGAACCTCCGGGCTGTTCTCCCTCCTTTCACCTTCCCTGCTCTGTGCCCCCTCTGACAGTGCTGATGGGCACAGCTTCCCTTAGCTCGCAGGGCTGGCATCAGCCTCTGCTGCTTGAGTACGTGACACTGCAGCTGGATGTAAAGACCCAGATCTTAAAGCAAATGCTTTCCTTGGGCTGCTTGCACAAGTTATGAAGAATTTCAGCAAGGGCCAAGTTGATGCAGTACAGGGGGATGCAGAGCCCCCCACATCTCCGAAACAGCTGGTGCAGGCACCTGAGAGGGCAAGGACAAGCTGGTGTGGGTGCAATGAGAACAGATGCCAGCATCAAAACATCACTTGGCTCTCATTTTGGAGGTATGAAGAACCCAGCGACTGCCAGAAAGACAACACGAGAAACCCATTCCTGTCCTGCCCGCGGCCAGTTCGCATCCACTGGCCCACGGACGTGTCCCCCCTTCCCACACCCTCCTTTCACTGCTTGTTTACTCTGGCTTCGCTACCCTGCTCCTCCTTTCCTAAGAACGTTTGTTCTGATTTTCTTCCGGCCCGTGAGGCAGGGGAGGGTTTTTATTCCCACAGAGCCGCAGCTGTGCATCTGAATCACGCTGGCGTCGCCTCCGTGCGCGCGCGGCCGTCTCCTCCTGCAAGCTGCAGAGGCGGCGGAGCCAGGCCAGGAGGAGCAGCCGGGGGGCTCGGGCTGGCTCCGAGCACCCGGAGGAGGCAGCAGCCCAAGGCACAGGTTTGCTCCTGCATTTCTCTCTCGTTATTACTGAGCCTCGCTGCCTCGGATGAGCAATTATCGGTCGGGGCATCAGTGAGGCCAAGCCCTTTGCTTTCCGAACGCTGTGCCTGCTGTCAGGAGCCCAACCTGCTCTGGGGCTGTGGAGCCTGGAAACTTTAAGATGGGATTTGGAGCAGGAGCCCAGCAATCTTGGCAAAGTCGGAGCCTCGAGCTACTGCTGGCCTTGGCCGGGCTGAGTCAGTGCTGCAGGGAGGACCAGGGGCCGCTCCTGACCTTTACGGCTCTACACGTGGGAAGAAAAGAAATGCAGCCATGGGAGCCCACAGGCTGTCTCGGGCTCCCCAGCTTGTGCTATTCACTCAGCTGACCGCTTTTGTTGCTGCTCTGCAGCCTCAGTGCCATCACATCACACGAGCCGTGGAAAATTCAAAAGCCCAGCTCAGAAAGAGAAAGTGAAGGAGCTGAGGCTCTGTCTCACTGGAGGCTCTGCACAGCCGAACCGAGCAGCTCAGCCACGTCCCGCACCGATGCTGCCTCTGGCTGAAAACACATGGCCCCAGTGAGTTTTTTTCATTGTCACTGCTCGCTCTTCCCTCATGCTCACGAGAGGAGGGAGCTGGGATCAAGCTGAAGCAGGAGCCCCATCGGTGCGAAGGAAGAGATGGAAAAATGTGCTGCTGGCGGTGGCAAAGGCCCTGCAAAAGCTGCTCGCTGAGAGGAGGCCCACGTGAAGTTGGGGATGGTTTGGCGCTCTAAAAGTGTTGCATAATTACCCTCTTGTTACAGCTACGTGGTAAGAAACCGCCCGCACTGAGTTAGCAGAAGCCAAGCACACGCTTACAGGCGTGCAAAGCCACCACGCGGAGCCGCCGCCACAAAGCAGCATCAAAAAAAAAACCCTTCTCCCTGAGCACGCGGAGATGAACACAGTGTCACAGCCCTGAATGCGCCAGGAAACCACTCCTTCACTCTTTCAGGCTTAATATTATCAGGCAAGAAACTGTTAAAGTAAATTTACTCACCTAAGTCCGCTCAATTAATGCACAACAAATATTGAATCTCCTCCATGTTTCTGCTTAGGGGCTTCAAACGCTGCTTTAGTGTAAATGACAGCTGAATGCTTAAAAATGATTTATGGGGATTAAATAACCTGGCGGTGCATTAGTTCCTTTTACACAGCCTGGCAAGGTCTCTTTGCTGGCATAATCATCGCCAAACAGCTAATTAGCTCAGCTCCCACCAGCGGAGAGGCTGCAGAAGCACCGATGCCATCCCCAGCCACCGGCGCTGTGCTGCGATCACAAAGAGAGTCAGGTTTCTGTTTTTCCGACAAAAATAGCGATGCACTGGCTGTCAGTTAATAGCCACGCAGCCCACGCTGTGCTGGGCCAAATATTTCCCACGGCGTCTGGCGGAGAGGCCCCCTGAGCTGGCCGTGGGCTGGAGGTGGCAGCCTTCTCCCGGCACTGCCTCTCCTTGGTAGGATGCTCGGGGTTTTGCGGGGTTTTTCCCCCCCAGCAGCTCTCGCTGCACTCCCACTGCTGTTTGCTAGAGCTGGCCAAGCACCGAGTCCTGTGCTGCACGTCCCTGGCATCTCCCCGTGAGCTCCTGCAGTGTCCCCACTCTGAGATCACCAAGCAGAGCTGCTGCTGTCCAACGAGGAGCAGCCAGGGCATAATTCAGCATTTAGGGGCATGAGGTTGGGGCCATGAGGCAGCAACGGCCTGGGGGAACAGTCCCAAAGGGGCCATACCCAGCCCAGGAGGAGGAGGAGGTCAGGAAGCCGTGCTGCCACAGCCTTTTCCCACCCTCTGCAACTGGAGACACGAAAATGAGCTCCAGAACCTCCTGGAGCTCACCTGGAGGAGCCAGCAGCGTCCCAGCTGTGTCCTGGCACCTTCAGAGCCTCCGGGGTTGTGTTTTGGGGCAGGCAGGCCCTGGCTCCCTCCCCATTTCACCCCATGCCCAGCGTGCCGGATGCAGGGAGCCGAGCAGACGGAGAGCTCACAGCACTCACCCTCCACAGGTGCTCCGCTACAAACAAGCGGCGATAATTTATAGGTTTCTATTTTAAGGGTGAAGAAAAAAAAACAACACAGACACCTCCATTCACAGGGGGAGAGAGCGGTTCGGCTGCCAAGCATTGTATCCTTGTCATCTCCTCGCAGCTGTACTTTTCATCATGCTCCTTTTTTTTTTTCTTCCCTTTTATTTCTTTTCAATGTAAGAACACGAACTGCGCACCCGTGCTGCCGCTCCGTTTGCTCCACGCACAGCCACAGAGCAGACATCGCCTATTAGACGGAATATCCTGGCAGGGCATTAGAAATGAATCACAAATTGCACCTTAGAGAGAGAGAGAGAGAGAGAAGGAAAGGAAGGAAAAGGAAGGAAGGAAGGAAGGAAGGAAGGAAGGAAGGAAGGAAGGAAGGAGAGAAAGAGAGAGAAGAGAGAGAGAGGAAAGAAAGAAAGAAAGAAGAAAGAAAGAAAGAAAGAAAGAAAGAAAGAAAGAAAGAAAGAAGAAAGAAAGAAAGAAGAAAGAAGAAAGAAAGAAAGAAAGAAAGAAAGAAAGAAAGAAAGAAAGAAAGAAAGAAAGAAAGAAAGAAAGAAAGAAAGAAAGAAAGAAAGAAAGAAAGAAAGAAAGAAAAAGAAAGGCAAAAACAAGAGCTGCGCTGTCTCCCCAGGAAGGAGTTGGCGGCGAGTGAGAAATCTGATTAGTGGCTGCAGCGCGGGCCGAGGAAGCCGGACATCTGCGCGCGGCCACGGCCAGTCGCAGACAAATCGCTTCCTCCCCGCATCTGCCCCCGATGTGCGCATGGGAAGGCAGCAGCAGCCCCCGTGTGCTCCCGGCCTCCTGCCCTTCCTGCCGGGGGCATGGAGCTGGGGGGGGGCGCAGCGAAGGTGAGCTCGGTGGTGCCCACCGGGTGCCCACCGTGCTCCTCCCCCAGCAGGGCACCCCCCTGCGGAGCCCCTGCAGCCCTGGCAGGTCCACACAAGGCGTAAATGTGATGGGAGAGAGGAAGGCTGCGGCCATCGCCCGGTCCTACATGGCACCTTGTCCCTCCCAGAGCCCGAGCCACGCGGGGCCAGCAGCTCCCGCTGGTCCTGGCTGTGGTGCTCAGCGCCCGGGCGCTTTCCCAGCACCAAACCTCTGCTCACAGAGCACCAAAGGGCACGGGCAGCAGCACAGGCACAGCCCAGGGATGTACTCACGGGTTATATCTGGCTCACGCCAGGCCTGATGTCCTCAGGAGGCTTAGGGGGATAATCCCCTCTCCGGCGGGTGCGAATTCCCTGCGCCAAGCCGTGAGAGCAGCTGGGGAAGGGGCAGCTCTGCACAGCTGCGGGCACAGCTGGTGGCACCGACCCTGGCACCCTGCTGAAGCTGTGCCAAAGCACGGCAGCAGCCTCAGCACCTTCCGAGGGCCAGGGCAGGATGGTCCTAAAAGGCTCAGTTCCGCAGTCTGTGCTCACTGCCACGACAAACTGCAAGCTCATACCAAAAGAGGTCTTAGCTCCACAGCAAAATTCTGCCAGATTTCAAAACCCTCTTTTTTTTCCATTTAAAAATTAACATACTTTTTTTTTTTCTCCTTTTTTACAGGTTGACCTGACCGAACCTAAAAAAAGCCCCGAACCCCAAAGCTCTGAGTTCTGGTTCAGCCCAAGGTCCGTGCCCCGAGCTGACCCCTGGAAGCAGCTGCGTGCTCCTCTCCCCGACATCCCTGCTGCCCCTGCAGAGCTCCCGGGGACAATTAACATCCTGCCGGGATTTTTGCTCCTTGCCAGGGAGGGAAGTGGCCCCTGAGATATGGGAAAAATATAAAAATTTGGGACATGCACATTTAGGAAATCGGACTGCTGACACCTAAAAATAACTGCTGCTTCCCGCTTCCAGTTTACGACCCTAAGAGCGATCGGCACCGATGTTTTTGTACGCAGAGAGGCTGCATCCGGAGGCAGCTGCGATGCCCAGCATTAGCCGCTGCCTGCCCCAGCCCCAAACCCCAATGCCTCAAGCACCAAAAACTCCCGAAAGTCGTGGCAGCCTCAGTGCTTAGGCAGACACCAGCCCTGCCCATGGTGCTGGGCACGTTTGCTGGGTTTGCTGTGCACTGAGTTTATAAATCGGCGCTAACCTCATGCCGACGGCACTGCTCGGAGCCTCGGGGTCGGGAACCATGTGCGTGAGCCACTCGCAAACATCGGGACACGCGTGTGGGTCCAGACAAAGGGTAGTGCAAGGATTTCCCCTCCAGAAAGGAAACGAAGCGAGGGAAGAAGGCAGAGCGGCTGCAGTTCTCTTGCTGAGGCCCAGCTGGCACACAGAAAACGGCAGAGGAAGGCCGAGGCTCTGCAGAGGATTTTCCCTCCTCCCCAGGGCTCCAGCCCTAGTGCCCATGACCGCTCGCTGGTTTGCTTTCTGGGGAACAAGCTGAAGGGAACTGGGAAGCAATTCCTGCAGGGCTGCAGCCTTCCCGAGGGGAGCAGCTCGGGGGGAGCTGGGCTGCTGCAGCGGCAGACGCAGGGCGCCCGCGATCGAGGCGAGGATGCCCCAGCAGCAGGAGGCGAGGTGAGGGCACCCAGCACGATGTTGGGCAGGGTTTTTTGCTCTGCTTTGGCACTCCAAGTACAGATACTGCCCCGTCTCGCCCCAATTCCTTACCCATTTGTTCCAGGCTCCTACCCCTACCTCCAACAATGAGCCATGCCAAAGGATTTTGGTCGATGTGAATAGAAGGGAATGGTTTTATTCCACCTACAAATCTTTGGCTCGCAGTGGCGGGGCTGTGGGGTGAAATCCAGCCCTGGAGAACGCTGCAGAGCAAAATCTTAGCCCCGCTCCCCTGCCAGATGCTCTGCAGGGTGGATTTGCTGCTGCTGAGACTCCGCTGCCTGGCCCCGATACTCTGCTCGCAGCAAGCGCGGCGGGGAAGGGAGCGTTTGCTAGGGGGCTGAGGTGGGAGCAGAGAGCTATTTATATTTATATTTATATTTATATTTATATTTATATTTATATTTATATATTTATATTTATATTTATATTTATATTTATATTTATATTTATATTTATTTCTAAAGTGCCTATCACCATACTGATAAACACTCTCTGGAACCACTCTGATGGCAGGGGTAAGAACGGGAGATGGCCTGTTGGTACCTCGGCACTTCTGTTTCCAACCAGTTAAATAAAAATAAAAAACAAGCAAGACTTTTGCCCCAGGACGGGTGCTGTGTGCCCACTGCGGCACTGACGGGTGCAGGGCAGCAAGGTGTGGGCAGGATGAGGCCAGGAGCTTTTGTCCTGGAGCCGGGAAGGAGCCGGGAGCCGCAGGCACAGGCTGGACCTGGGCAGGAGGTTTTGCCCCAGCAAATAGTAAATTTGTCAAACCCAAACCCAAACAAACAAGCGAGTTTCAAGGGACAGAAAGAATTCACAACTTCGTGGCCAAATTCAGCAAATATTTTTAGCCAGGCGAGGGAGGGTTCCAAAACACCACTTGGAGATTTTGTACAATTTTTGTTGTGCTCTTCTCTAGCCGGGGACTCGCCAGCTCCTTCCCAGCCAGGATGCCTCCGTTTCGAAAAGCAGCAGCTGCAGGAAGGGTTAAGCAGCTCAGCAGCAACCTGCCAGGCTGCTCAGGATCGCTGAAGCCTCCAAACCTCGCTGCTTCGATTTGACTGAAACAATTTGCCTCTTCCCCCGTGGGATTTTTGGGTTCAGCCACAGAACTGAAAAATCCATTATTAGCCTGGCTGCAGTGCAAACTGCTGCACAGCCTGCGGGCCTGCCCTGCCCGTGTGCTTAAATAGCCCTTAAATAACGCCAAATAATATGGCAGGCTCCATTCTCAGTGTCCCCACACGGATTTCCAGCAGGAGCCATGGTGCATGGGACTCAGGCTGCAGGCTGGGCACAAATCATTAAATGCTTGGTGCCGTGCGGCCCGTTACTGGTCCCTGCACTGGTCTCCAGGAGGAATTTTTTAGTGCGAAAGAAACTTTTCCTACAGCCATCACTCCCACAGCCCAAGTCTCCCTCTGAGGGCAGCAGTGGGGCCAGATCCTGCCCACACCACGGGCAGTGCTGGGACAGGCCGGGCACGGGGCTGCTGCTGAGACTGCCCCAAAAACCCCAGGCTGGAAAACCCGAGCGTGGCAGAGAAGTGTTTCGCCAGCAGAGTTTTATAACATCCTCCCCCCAGCCTTCTCTGTCCTCTTTTGATGCTGGCTGTACAAACGAGAAGCCTTTCGGTGCCAGTCCCTAAACCTCCTGCTGCTGAAGCAATGCCCTGTCCCGGCCTTTCCAAGAGGTTTTCCTTGCTGGTCACCCCAGGAGCAACGAAACGCGCCTCGGTGCCAAGGTGAAGCTTAATCCAAACCTCACACCTCGGAGCAGGCTTGGATGGGAGTCCTGGATGGCGATTTACAGCCGAAGAGCTGGATGTGTCTGGCTAGGAGGCAGTCACAGGAATATATATAGATGCACAGAGCAGATGTCCGTGCCAAGGGAATACAGGATTTAGCCAAAGATGGGGCGAAAAAACAGCGCTGGGAAAGTATCTGAGCAAGGAAAACCCCCTGGGGCTTCATCCCACGCAGGTGCACGGATTGACCTAGCAGAAAGTCCAGCAAACCTGCTCGAAAGCCGTGTTAAAAGAGTGGAGGAAACACTTGCTGCTTTGTCGGTTGTCAAACCATTTCCCCTCTGTGTACCTTCGAGCGATCCCTCAAGGCGCCCTGACCTGCCGCTCTCATACCGATTCCAGGGGAGCACAAACCCCGCTCGCAGGGCTCCGCGGCCTCAGCCGAGCCCTGCAAAAAGCATTTGTGGTACAAAGGAGGAGAGTCACAGCTAAAAACCCGAGCCCAACACCGTGCCGGCGATGGGTGGTGGGATTAAACTGAGAATTAAAAAATCCAAACTGCTCTGGAGCTGCTGCTGAGCTGCCAGCCCCCATCCTGAGAAAGCCTCAGAGCACAAAAATGGAGCAGGCAGCGGGGAATTATCCGAGCTGGTGCCGGTGTCTGGGAAGGGTTTATAGGACAGCAGCCACTTGGATATTGCCTGCCACAGGGCTCAGCCCCGCTCCCCATCCCGAGGAATTCCCAGGTCCCACGACACTCGCCCCGCTCAGCACCGCGCGTTTCCATTCCCTGGCTATCGCCTGCCCGGTGCCTGAGCAACATCTGCCCAATGCATGGGACTTACACCGTGCCGGAATAGGGTGAGCGGGTGGGGTTTTTAAGTCGTTTTAGGAAGAATTTATTGCTTATGCAAGGAGACGCCACAGCCAAGCAGAACCTGGGGAAGCCGCAGCCGCCCTGGTTCAGCTGGGGTCCCTGCCCTGTGCCCCCCCAGACCCCGCTTGTGGCCGCTCCCCGCAGCCCCGTGAGTCCCCCCGGGGGCTCCATCGATGCCCAGTTCCCGGGGAGGGACATCAGAGGCAGGAGGAGAGCAGATTAACAGATTCAGGTCATTTGTAATGCAAAACCTGGGGGTTTGCTGCACTTAAGGAAGCTGCTGCACCTACTCGCTGTTAAAGTGCCTGTAAAATAAATTTAACGCATTCATCCCAGTGTCCCGTGAATTAGAAGAAAGGCAGCGAAATTTTTGGATGAAAAGTTGAACTGTGAACTTGTGCAAACTGAGGTGTGAATCCTTTCTCCTTCCCTCTCCTCCTGTCAGTGTGTGTGCACAGAGCTGACACCTGACATTTACCTAGGTACGCACCCGCTCGTGGCACGCACTCAGAAGGAAAAGGTGTGCACACAAATACAGCACTTGTAAATGCAACAAAACACATTTTCAGTCCGTTGATTAAATCTATAAACTAGAGGACAGCCTAGTCAGGCTCTTCTCTGAGTCAAAAACCTGAGTTATGCCCGATGTCACATTAAAGCCCGTTTAAGATGACTTTCAGCCTCCCTGAAAGTATCACAGCCTGAGCTCGGCAGGACAAGGGCTCTCACAGAACAGCCTGCACAACCTTTTCTCTCATGGGCTGGGAAGTAGGAGAAGGAGTGGTTGCTCTTGTATTCAATTACCCGGGAGATGCCCTGAGCCCCAGTAATGGGGCTGTATAAATACCTACATAGATTAGCTCGACCTGTCCCAGGCTCACTCCTGCATCCCCGCGTAGCCTCCGCAGGAAGCCACTGACCCTCCCAAGACAAACAGCCTCAAGACACTGAGCTCCCAAGTAGGTCTTTAAGCAAGAGGCAGGACGCTGGGAACCTGATCCCAGTCATGCAGTGAGTACAAAATCGCTGATATTTTCACCATCACCACCTTCAAACATCACGGCACCGCTAGAGACGGGACGTTACAGGGAAAGGCACGGCCCCAGCGGACAGGGGACGGGGCTGCCTCGTGTCTCTTACCTCAGAGGGATCTTGATGGCCAGGTACCTGTCGATGGCCACCGCCAGCAAGCTGAAGATGGAGCTTTGGGTCAGCACCAGCACGAAGCAGGCGAAGAAGAGGCAGCTGTGAAAATCCACCTGGAAGCCGATGCTGATGGTGATGGCGAAGGGGATGGCCAGCAAGCCCACGGCGATATCAGCCACGGCCAACGACACCAGGAAATAGTTGGTGGCGTTCTTCAACGTGCTGTTGATGGCCACGGCCCAGCACACGAGCACGTTGCCGGCGATGGACAGCACGGCGATGATGAGCTCCAGCACGATGTAGGTGGTTTGCAGAGTGTCCATGGCGAGGAGCCGCGACCCTTCACCGCCACGAGCTGCTCGCCCCGGGGCTCGCGGCTACCAAGAGGCCACGGGGCAGCGCTTCCCGCAGAGAACCACCCATCGGGGGCCTCCCCGCAGCCTCCCCCTGGGTCCCGGGGGGCCGGAGGGGCGCGGCGAGCCCCGGCCCGCAGCCCCCCGCCGCCGCCCGCAGCGCCCGACCCCGGGGGCGCATCCGCGGGCTCCGGGAGCTCCTCGGGGACGCGCTCAGCGCCCGACCGCCCCCGAAGCCGCCCCCATCGGCTGGGACGGGGCTTGGACGGCACCGAGCGGACGGGAGCGGCCCCCGCTGCCCGCCGGGGGATGCTCCGCAGCCCGGCCGCTCCGCGCGGCGAGCGCCGGCTTTTTGTGCCCATGGGGAGAGCGGGGCGGGGAGTGCGCGGAGCGGCCGCGATTGGACGGGGAGGGCCGGTCCCGGTGCCCGCAACCCCCCCCGCAAACCTTCCCCGGTCCCCCGACCCCTCCCCGAGATCCCCGTCCCGCTTTTGGGGTTCAGAGAGCGGCGAACGCGGAGCCGGCCCCGGCCCCCGGCGAGGGTTGGGGATTGCCACAGAGAGTTGGGACACCGCCGGGAGGGGGGTGGGGGATTGCCACACCGAGAAAAGTCCCCCCCCGTACCGGCCCACGAAAGCAAAGCGGCTGTTTCATAAAATCCTGACGGCCGCCCGTGGCCCCACGTAACGTTTCCTGGCGTAACGAGATGGCAAAACGCCGTGGGTCAGCACGAGCTGGCTGCTAGCCACGGGGCTAGCGTGGTCAGGGTTAGCTCCACGGGGTCTGGGAAGAATTAAAAACCTGCTGCAGGCACTAAAAAAGGAGGTTCTGCAGCAGGCGATCTTCAAACCAGCAGTGAATGTGGAAATAAATTATAATTCAATAGCTACTTACCTTTTGGTCACACCTTCCGTGCGTTATATTGTGTTCACCATCCAAAGCCGAGCAGATCAGAGGCTGAGCATCACAGAGGTTTTTGTGGCATCCAGCAGTGCTAAATAATCCAGGACAGAAACTGGAAAATATCCCAGACAGGCATGCTAACAATCCCCCCTTCCTGTAGCAAACAGAACGTAAAAGAAACTGCTGTTGCTTTTCAGAACAAACTTTGAATTAAAAACCTGTGCAAGGGAAAGCTTTCTGGGGATCCAAACCTAAACAGAGCAAAAACACGTGGGAAAAAAATGATTTATAAATGCTTTTTGTGGACCTGGAGTAAACAGAAACACTCCCAAGGATTAGAAATGCTTTGGATCAGGCTGATTTGAGGGCAGGCTGCTGGTGTGTACTGAGTGAAGCCATTTTCTCCAGGGTGGGCAGCTCAGCAGCAGAATGCTTCAGGACGGCTGGGATGCTCAAGGAAAGCCACGTCGGTGGCACGTTTGATTTGATAGAAACATACAGCAAGGTTCCCTTCGCTCCCCTTTGGTAAAAGGATCTGCCTTTGGGGGTGTCGCTGCCCCTTGCCCCCCCACCTGAACACTTCACACCCTGCAAGCTGCCCGCAGGGCAGGGACCACCTCGCACCGCAGCACCCAGGGCAGCACACGCTGCGCTGCCTCCAGCCCCGGTGCCTGCCCGGTGCCGCACGGGGAGGCAGCAGCGAAGCCCCGGGGCTGCTGCTCCTGCCTTCTCAGCCCTGCCTGGATCCTCGACTTGCCTGCACTGGTTTGGTTTATTTATTATTTTGGGATGAGCAGAGCTCCCCTCGCGCAAAGCCTGTTAGGATCGTGCAAGCGAAGGTAAACAATGATGGAAAGGCACTTTTTACCCCAAAGCAACAGATTTACATCAGGGTTTTTACACATTGTTTTCCTAGGTCTATAACATGTGCCAACAGAAGCCTTTTGCTGCTTTATGGCACTTCGGTGAGAAGTGAATGAACTTTGCAGAGGATACGTTTCATTAGGGAAGAATCTGCTGTTGTGATCATGGAAATAGTTTTTACAGGCTGAGCCCGTGGAAATTTTGGTTTATCAAGTCAGACACGAGCAGAGAAATAATCTGTTTCAGCTTTTGATGAATAGCTCGTTCTGGACAAGGTCTGTCTCTGAGACAGGCAGTAAGGCACAGCGAACTCTATGGATTTTGCATTATGCTGAGATTCATGGCTCTGCAAAGCACAGGCACCTCTGCCAAGGTCCGGTGGTTTATTTTGGCATTAACTGAAGCAGCTGAACTCATTCCGAATCCAACTTAGCTGCCAGTGTAGGCAAGGAGCAGTGTGCTCGCTCTGCTCTACCATGCGTGGTTAAAACCTGCCGGCAGTTAGAGCAGGACGAGCCCGGTCCCAGGTCCCAGCAAGAGATATGGAGCCTCCGGACCCTGCCCTCTGGCTGTGTTCTTTGAGCCCTGCTTTAATTTGTGTGCCATTAAACATCACCTGGATGTGCCGGCCTTGTAAAGCAATCATCGGGGCAGGCATTGTGAAACTCTGCAGTCCCCGTGGCTCTGTGGATGCTGAGTCCCGAGGTGACAACGTGCATGGCTGTATTCTGCCGGCTGTAAACCAGCAAGGACGTCACGCGCTCAGCAAGGTAAATATAGCCCAAAGCAGCTCATGGAATCCATTCAAGAAGTGGAGCACAATAATAACACGGCAACAGGTCACCGGCGCACTGTTTGGTGCGAAGATGTCACATACGGTGACAAATGAGTCATCATTACTATTCTTTTCCGGGTTTTTATGTTACGCTAGGGATTTGCCGCTCAGCACTCTTGGAGGAAACAACACCAGCCCCGACCAGCTTCTTTCAAGTGTAAGGACTCATCTGGCTCCTTTGTTCGGAGGGAAACAGATTTAAACAGCTCCCACGTGGTGGACAGCGATACGGTGGGGGGCAGGATCGGCACCCTGGCGCGGCCGTAGCCCGCAGCTCTGCTTTGGCAGAAGCCCTCCAACCTCGTACGTGCTGTTCCTCTGTCGCTGCAGTCCCTGGGGGAACAGAGCTGCCGCTTTGGAGGCAGTGCGCTTCCTGCAGCCCTCTGTGATCTTTTGTGTGAGGCCTCTCTGCCTCTGCGCAGGCTCAGGCTTCTCTGGGACTTCCCCGGCCAGCTCTGCCTTGACACCTTTGGTTGTCAGCCACAAAGAAGCAGTGAGAGGCACCTCCTACCCCCGGCACACACCAAGCCAGGCCCAGCCAGCCCTCGGGGCCAGGCTGCAGCTGCCACGAGATGCTCCTGAGCCACTAAGGGCCGAGATGCTCTCACTGGTCCTGCAGCCAGTTCTCTATTCCTGCAGACCTTGGCACCTTCAGCACAATCCTCCCAGCATGTCTCTCCCCAGCAGGCCCTTCCCTTTCTAACCTCTTCTCACTGCTCGTCTCCTCGGTGAGGGCTGTCGGCTGCAGGAAGGACGAGCGATGGCAGGGCTTTGCAGGGCAGGTGTGAGGAGCTGGCCCAAGAACCCGCTCCTGTGCAGTCTGTGGCTGCCTCTGCCTAGGGCAGCAGACCTCAGCCCCAACGCGCTAAATAGGAGCCACTGGCCTGGCAGAACTAGCACAGCCTGGGGAACTGAATCCCCATTACTGCTCAAGTCCTCACTAGCACATCTGAGCTGTTTTGCAGGACAAGACAGAGCTTGTCCTGAACCTGACTCCACGAAAGGGTTCCCAAGACACAACACAACCTGCAAACCATGCAGCAGGTACAAAAGCCCTCTTCAAAGTGGTGCTTGCGATGATGGTCGAAGGGAGCACGATTTTTGAGGCCAATTTGGTATGCAGGCAGGTGAAAGAAGTACCCAGCGCTGCTGGAATATTCATGGTCTGCATCCCATGCTGAGCATTAGCATGTCAAAGATTGCAGGCAGCTCTGCAGTAAACATCTGTGCAGGTGAGTGGTGCAAGGCAGGGTTTGTGGCTGCATTGCTGGAGGCGTTTTTCTGGAAGAGCTGGGGAAAGGAAAGCAGAGAGTGAAATTCCAGAGAAAACTGCTTCCGTACTGAAGACTTCACCAAATCCAAAAAATGCCTGGAAAACAAAACAGAAAAATTATGGTAAGGTCATAAACTGCAGATCAACAAACTTGGATTTTCCTAGTCCTGGGGTCACTGCCAGACAAGAAATGTTTAGCATGGTGCCTAAACCAGCTGCAAGAACTCATCTTGTAACAATGCAGGTGTGTGAATTCTTTATGCGTTGTGGGTTCTATCTTACACCTTTCATTAGAAAATAAAAAACACCGCAGGACTGAAAAAAAAACAAAAACTATAAACAGCAGTGAAATTAAAAAAGATTTTGGCTGAATGGAGGGCAAGGCAACGATGATAGCAGTTTAAAGAAATTTTTCATGCATCTCTGATTTTACTTACTAACCACCCTCTATGATGAAAAGCCAAGTACCTCTTCCAGCAGGATCTTTACAGCAAAGCTGCAGCCAGACTGCACGAAGCCAGGTGGGGCTCAGCCCTGTCCGGGTCTGGTGAGCGCAGGGGCCGGCTGGTGGAGCAGGTAGAGCTGATTTCCCCAGAGAAATCAATAGGAAGTGGCGGTGTGTTTCCAGGCCAACACCAGGAGTGGAAAGCCCGAGGTGAAGCCAGACAGGGCAGCGACACCGCTTGCAAGCCAAACACCCTGCGATTGCTTCATTCACAGCTAGAGCGGCTTCCTGGGCAGAACCTTCACAACTTCATGCCCCTAAGAAAACAGGCTTGCTAAACGTCTGCTCCACAAGTGTGACTCAGAAGTTCACTCCCCATCAACGCTTCTCAGCAGCAATAAGGAGAAGTGATTCTGTGCCCTGCCAGATCCTGACAGCGCAGAGAAACGCGCTGTTACGCAAAAATGGGATGCTTTGAGTTCCAAATCATAGTACCGTTAAGAGCAAGGAGACTTGAACTGGTTGCAATGCAACTGTTCTGAATGCAGACGTTTCTCTGTGCAAGATGGAGCCAAGAAATTTAAATATCTGTTATTACCGCTATTACGATGATCTCCAGCTTTCAGAGGACAGCTATAGCACACAGAGAAGGCCACTGGTGTCCTAGGTCCCAGCTGGAGCTTGGGGCATCTTTGCCCCCTAATTCGTAGCCTCATTTTGCAGGCAGACCCATGCAGGCCACTAAGGGGTTAAAGGGCAGCTGAGCTCCTACAAAAGCTGCAGAAGACACCCAAAAAAAAACAGGTCAGGCGCTGCAGAGGAAGGTGTCAGCCTTCCTGCCCCACTGTCTCCACACTCAGCTTCCGCCAAGCACTGCATTTGCACTCCAAGGCTGTTTGAACCCAAGTGTCATTATTACAGCCCCCGTTGAACTTCTCCATCACAAAGAAAAGTGAATGTTCCGGAACCTGCCTGCTGCCCAGCCCAGGAAGGTGACACATCGAACACCAGCTTCTTTCAGAGACCAGCACCCAGAAACCTCACTGCCTATCGGCTCCATCCAGTTTTGTCCATTCTCTGTAAGTAGTGGCAGCAGTGCTGTGTAAACCTGCTGCTGGCCACCTTTAAAGCCCGAGGACTTACTGGGTGGGGTTTCCATCCTTGCCACTTTTTCAGACCCTCCCTGGTTTAGCTGCCAGGAGCCTTAATCCCGGATGAAGGGAAGAACCTGGACCACACTGACTGGTGGCGTGTAATTTATGACTGATGTTATGAGTCCCTTTGCAAGCTTCAGGCTGAACTCTTCCTGCCCAGAATGGCTCTCCAGGGCCTTGGCAGCACAACTGCTCTCAAGGGCCGAGCTCTGCTATGATAGCGCTCTGCTATTCAGGCACGTCGGGTTGTGTGAGCCAAATCCCAGTAGCTGCCTTACAAATAAGCAACAGATTATGCTCATGGCTTTCACTGTCATGCCCTCCGGGGCAGGAGGGCATATGCTGAAGCCTGGATTTCTGTGGGTTCCTGCAAAGAGCAGGGCTGGGCAGCAGTGTCCCTACAGAGCCTCCTCCCTGGGGGATGATTTCTGCCGGGTCCCGCTACCTGCAGGTCATGCTAGCAATTGTCACATTGCAATTAGTGGTGGAATTACCGTAGGTTCCTCTGTGCTGGGCTGTTTGCTGTGGTTTCCATTTTGGCAAGGAAAACAACAGGCATTTTATGAACAACTGAAACACCGATTTGCTTGAAATAGACTGAAATACACATACCTGAGAAGGCCAAGCAGAGCGATGTGTGCTGCTCGTCCTCTGGCTCCCCAGGAGGCTGACCCCGCCGGGAGCATGGTCGGTATGTCCCACAGGACCACCAACCCCAGCAGTTGTTGCCTTCTGTGATTAGAGTGCAGGAGCAGCTTACGCTCAGAGAGAAAGGATGAGCTGTCTGAGAAGATAAAAACTACAGCACACCAAGGTGGAGCAAGGGTAGTGGCAAAACGGAGCTTTGCACTGAAGGCATACAGCTGTCTGTGCAGAGCAGGGTAGGAAAGGCACTTGCTCCCATTTTAATTCTCTAATCTTGTTACTTTCTCTTTAACCTGCTTAAACTCGCGATGTGTGGGTAAGGATGAAACCTCGGTCATTGCTATGTACTTAAGAAGGGACGGAAGTTCATATTCTAGAAATGTGAATAATGTTTACCCACACTGGCATTTTACAGCTTTCGTTTCCCTCCTGCTGTGCTCAATAAAAGATGCTGCTTGTCCCCACCGTCTGACTGCCAGCATTTCTGGGTGACATTTACTTCAGGGTCCTGCCACCCACACTTTGTGCTGGTCGTTTTTCAGCACCAAATAATGCAAAGCTGTACCTATGAGACTGGAGCCACCTGGTTCCAACCCCTGAAGCCCACCAACACCCCATATTGAAGACTTCTCATGCTATTTGCATTGCTTATGTTTCTCTCACCTATTTATGGCTCGGGTCTCTCAAGCACATGGATAACCAGGACAACTTCTCAGCTAGTGCTCACCTGCTCTGCCTTCCTGCCCAAGCATCTCTACATCTATTGCAGCCTAAAAAAAGCACAGATACCGCGTAATTATTCTCTATCCACACCAAGAAGATGCAGTGGGACACTTAACCTGACTCTAGGAGCTGGTCACTATAGGGGCCAGGAAGGAACTGCTTCCTGTGTACTGCAGCTCACTTCTCATTTCCTTTCTCCCCAGCTACACGCTCCTTACAAAGCCAAAGAGAGAGCATGGCTGTTCTGAACTGTAGCACTGCTGAAACTCCTGCTTTTCCAGAAATGTTTCTGGTGACGGGCTCTGGACAGCAAGGTGTCTCTGAAGATTTTGAGGCCCATCGTCTCAGGGAAACAGAATGGCTACTCCAAGAAAACAGGCAGGATGGTTCAGGGGCTGTACCAGAACCACGGGCTGAGGTCCTGTCCATTTAGCCAGCAGGAGCCTGGGAATCTTGGGTAAAATTCACATTATTAATGTCTAAGAGAGACATGAAAGGATTGGCTCGGAGGCAAGGGAGACTGAAAAATATGCCAATAAGCTTTTTCTAAAACCAAGAGTTTCCTTTTCATCACATTTCACGGCACCACAAATGGGTTCACAAAGGTTCAGACCCTGTTTGTGAGTAGCACACCTGCCTCAGTTCCCATGGGAGGTCTCTGAGCAGTTGGGGAATGCAAACCAAGGCTCCCAGTGCCCATGACAGGCTTTAGACTTTAAACTGAGTGCGCTATCTTCAGCTTCAGATATAGATCAGATCATAGCATTTCGCTTTCATCTGCCTCTGCCAGGGGCTGCAGCTGGATACAAACCTCAGTCTGCTGGAAGCCAGGCTTGGAGCAGGTCTGTGTGTTTGCAGCGAGGTGCAGGTGCATGGCACCGTGGCGACACAAACAAACCCAGACTGCTCCATCTCACAGATGAACACACACCAGTCAGGAAGGGAATTTTTCCTTCCACCCCAGTCACAGCTCTCTAAGCTCTAGGAGACACTTGGCAGCGAAACCAAACTTAGCAGCAGAGCAGTCCTAAATCTTGTCAGCTCACCCCATCTACAACCAGCCACAAACAATCCTGGGAAAACATTGGCCTGAACTCTCGTTTTCAGTCTCTTGCTGAACCACTTGCAAACATAGCAGCACGGATTACTCACTGACATTCTCCACAGAAAATCCGGCTTTTTCCAACAAATAAATCAAAGCAACTGGAGAACGTTGTGAAAGGAGCTGAGGCAGCAGAGCATCTAACAGCTTACTTCAGTGACAGAAGCACCAAGTCTGGCAGTAAGGACAGCAGGGCTTCAGCATCAATTGCTCCTACACAGGATCTATTTGCTGCAAGATAACAAGGGATTTGCAGACATTAATGTCTGCCATTTAATATGTAGCTGAATATAGTAAATTCTGACAAAAATAAGAACTGTCTTACATCCTCATCTTACGCCCTCTCCAGCTGAAGATCCTGGACTGTTGATTTTTGCTGGATTCCCAGCCTATGCTTACCTGGCAAAGGCACTGGCACCAGTTTAGTTGACCTGTTGAAGTCAAGTGGCAGGGTGTTGTCTCCATTTTAACATAAATATTATTTGTGTGTGTTTTTTTGGTTTAAGCTTTGAGACACAATCTGTAATTACATGATTTTGTGTTCTGTAGCATTTCCAGTTCAAGTATGTAATATGGCAACGGATTTTTAAAAAGCCAAAAAAAATAGAAGTAGCTTGCTTGATCCCTTGCTTAAAAACAAAGCAAACATAAGCTAAAGTGGCTGCAGCAATATATACTTGCTACCCATTGGTATCTCCAAACTGTACAAAGAATGGATTAACTCTGACAAGAAGTTATCAGGAGGTTTGTATCTCTTTATAGACAGAGAATTGAATTGAGGCTTATTACATGGTTGCATTTTTTGCTCACTGGTGTGTAATGCAGGATTTCTGCCTTTCCACATCCCAGGACTTAAATCCATGCCCATCAAAAAATTATTGGCTAATAGACACGAAGGATAATATCCCACCAGCACATTTAACAGTTTGACTTACAAAACAAGCAAGCAAACAAAAAACTGACCCTAAACCCCTCGCTTATTGCAGTTACTGTAACATGCAGACAGAAATTGCTAACTTCACATAAGATGGAAACGGGGAAGTCAGCCACACACAGCTTTGAATGAATGTGAATGTTCAGAGTCCTGCTCTTTACACATTAAGCACAATACGAGTCTGCATTCCTGGTGATGTGGAGATTTCCAGAGAGCAAGACGGGGCTGGTTCTGAGAACTCCTTTGCAAAAGATGACTGAGGTGTGAAGATTGGGTCTGGTGCTTTCTAAGTGAGCTACGGCAAGTCTTCAAAATCAAGCGTAGTGGCAGCTTGAAAAAAACTAGGAACGCCAGCTTGCCATTTCATGTGGTCATACTGCGTCCCGGAGGTAAAGCTGTCCAAAGTAAAACAAATCAGAACAATATTGCTTTCCCTGTGACATTGCCACAAGGATGGACCAGGCCAGCACTAAAAATTCAGGGCTGAAACATGATATTTAGGTGGGGAAAGGCAAAGTAGTTCGGATTATGTAAATGGGAACTTCCCACAAGGTTTCATCTACACAGCTGGGCACAAATGTACCTGAGATGCTCGAAGAGATTT